AAGGATATACTGGAATCTGTTAAATCATATTTACTGAACAAAGCCTATTATTACTCACTAAACGATTACTTGAATGATGATCTTGCAGGACAATAGTTGTTCATGCACGGGATTTTCATGTCATGTTAGATATAGACACCTATATAAATAAACATTGTAAATAAGTTGTTTGTAAAAAAAAAATAGAAATTCAGTTGAGTTTCTTGCAAGTTGTTCTAATTGAATTTTTATACTAAAACGGACGGTAGAGAAAACATTATAACATAAAAAATTGGACGTTCATAAGCAGCTAAAATGTCCTACGTGAATAAATGATTTTTGAATTTGAATTTATAATACTATTTGTTTATTATCTTACTAATATCACAGATAACATAATATTACATATTAATATTATAAACGTTAAAGTTTGTGTGTAGTGATAGATGAATGTTTGTTACTCTTTCACGCAAAAACTACTAAACGGATTTTAATTAAACTTTACAGTAACATAGCTTATACATCAGAATAACATATAGGCTATAAATTTCACATGGTGAAACCGCGGCCACACCTTGTAATATTATATGTTAGTGGTCATTCTATTCTCTCAAATGAATCTGTATCTTGTAAACATACAAGTTCCATTTGAAAAGAATACGAGTTGAGTTTTTTATCAGTTCTTAACTCTAAAGCTCTCCGACCTGACGGTATTGGACGGACGGCCGGACGATTGGACATATCATAAGAGTCTATAATAAACCTATATGAATAACGATTTAAATTAATAATACTGAAACTAGTTAATTCGTGTGCACTACGTTGGACCGTAAATATTTCCGATATCCATTGAAACGTTTTTTTAAAAGTCTTTTCATTTCTCGGGTTAATATATAGCCTATGACATTGACAAATAAAAGGGGATAGGGTATTATTAAAAATGACGATAGTAACCCCATTGCCAGTATACTGTCTGGTCGAACTTCAATTGTCCGCCTTTGAAAACATCATGGTCAATTTCTGGTATATTCGGCAGGATGGGCATACTGACCTGACATTATCTTACCATCCTTCACTAATGCCACGCTGGTGTATGCCATCGAATAGCTAGCCATACTCGCCTGCGTATAGCGCAAGCGAATGCACCATACCATTATCATCCATAAAAATAAACCATTATATATGCTTCTTGAAAAACCCTATGATATATTCTCTAGAGAAACCTCAGCAGGTATTGTAATCCATTGCACAATTTGAGTGTACGGGTGAATAATACTAAATACCGTTCACATAGACATGGAAATTCATCCTAAACACTGTTTAAAATCACAAAATAATGCTCGCCATTAACAGTGAAATTCATCCCTACACCTTAGAATCATTGTGAGATTCTAAGGTTAGTCACCTTAGAACTTCATAATAATTCTAAGGTGAATAGAAACTATGTTTCATCCCTATACCTTTGTAGGTATAGAGATAAAACATAGTTTCTAGTAGGACTAACCTCACAATGGTTCTAAGGTGTAAGAATTCATTGCACAGTCTGAGTGTGCATTGGTGAATATTAATGAAAAATACACACCGTTCATCATAGACAGGGAAACTCATCCTAAACACTGCTTAAAATAACAAAATACTAAACGCTGCTCGCCATTAACAAGGAAATTCATCCCTACACCTTAGAACCTATTGAGATATAGGGATGAAACATAGGTTCTAAAGTGTGAGGATGAATTTCCTTGTTAATGGCGAGCAGTGATTAGTGTTTTGTGCAGCATAATACTGCATATCATTGATTATTTTATCTTATCAACATGTTATTGTTAACGATCGATGACCTCAATAAATTGATACCGGTTTAATGTATACAGATTGTGTATCTGTTTTGGATTATTAATAACCGATTTCAAAAAATTAAATGTTTACAAGTTGCCTGGATTTTATTACATTCGTTACTTAAATTCACCCTTCTAACATCAACCCCGATTATATAATAATAATCTCAGGACAATTCACACAGCGCCACCTAGACCCAAGTTAAGCCGTCCGAGGAATCGAACCCGCGACCATGTGTTAAACTGCTAGACCATATATCATATATAGTATTAGTATGTCATTTTGAATTGCAATAGAGAATTATTATTAAATAGTAATTTTGATTGATATTGTAAGATAAAAGCACATCTTGTATATAAGTGGGTCATGTCTCTTGACGTCGATCAGTATTATTTCCGGGAAATCCTTCAACGTGACATCCGAAGATAGTGACCTATCAACTTAAATGTGAGTATATGTTCAGGGCCGCACCGCCCATGTGCGAAGTGTGCAGCGCACAGACGCCAAGGCAATAGGGGTGCCGCACCATTCTTTTTTTTTAGTTGAAACTAACAAAGGTAGCAATAATTATTTCAGACCATATGCCATCTATTAAAGACATTTATGATATTATTGGTTTCAATTTTTAATTAAATAAATTCAGTAGCATAAACTATAGCAAATAGCAACACCAACTTTTAGATCAGTACTTTTTTCTTGAGGCAAGTGCTTAGTTATTTATTTAATATTATAATAATAAAAAATATATATTAATAATCAAAAATTTTCAAACTATTTCCATACATACCATACATACATTACATCTTCAACCCCTTATAACCCTTTTTCTTGTTTTTTTTAATGCTACTTATATTAGTGTCATCATGTACCAATGATAAGATGTCGCTATACTGTATTTTAATATTATCTCAACAGCCTAAAAAATGGGTTTCAAGTTTCTTTCAATTATTTTAATCAATACGCATTTTAAAAAATTCCTCTTTCAGTCTCTTATAAATTCAGTAGCATAAACTATAGCAAATAGCAACACCAACTTTTAGATCAGTACTTTTTTCTTGAGGCAAGTGCTTAGTTATTTATTTAATATTGTAATATTCTTTTGAAAATTGGTGGTCCAGTTATAGCCAATAACATAATAAAATTTTGTTAAATCAAAATAATAGATATGATATTCTAAATTGCAAAACCATTCTCTGAACAAATAATAAAATTTAATAATGTTGTTTCTTCCAAGGAAACGTATTGACAGATTTTTAATTGTGAAAAAATAATAGGCGCTCAGTGATAGGTATTTATAAAATAAAATTGCACACTTTATTCATTTAAATTCATGTATGTGGTCGTTTATTTATGCGCGCGTCTGTAGGTATATGTAAAAATGTAGATATATACACAATTATAAAGTAGACTTTCCAAAATATCTAATTTTTTAGTTAAGCCATTATTATAATAAGTGTGTATTCAACCGCATAAAGACCAATAAACTATTATGCTATTATCGTGAATACAAATATTTGCACTATGAAGAGATTGAACTCACGATGATTTAAATAGAAATAGAAATAATCTTTATACATATAAAATAATCTTTGTACTTATTATAAGCATTTTTGAATAGTCATAAAATATTTATATACACAACACTAATTTGGCAACACCGAGACCAATAAACTATTATGCTATTATCGTGAATACAAATATTTGCACTATGAAGAGATTGAACTCACGATGATTTAAATAGAAATAGAAATAATCTTTAGACATATTTGTACTTATTATAAGCATTTTTGAATAGTCATAAAATATTTTTAGTAATTTTATTTAAAAAAAATAAATAAAATTACTAAAATATTTGTAGACTGAGGTATTCCTTATGACATTAGCTATCTACTAGTGAAAGACTCGCCAAAATCGGTCAAGACATAACAGAGACTAGCAAGAACAAATAGAAAGACAATTTTTTATTTTTTTAAGTACCTAAGTACCATAGATATACACGTTATACGAAAGGTTGTTAATTTGAAATTACAAACAGCCATTTAAATTTTATTTATTTGTATATCTATCTAATAAATTTTACAAGGTAATATGATAATTTATGATCCTTCAATGTTCATAAAGTTTTAGGATTACACATATTATTATACCTATAGTTAGTAGGTATACACAGATAGTAGTAACGCTTATAGTTTTTTTTTTATGGAAATGGCAAACAATGAAATTGCCCATCTAATGGGCGGTAACCATCGTCTACATGAACAGGACTACGGACATTACGTTATCATGTGACACCCTTTATATCACTCATGCCTTGCCAGCCCAGAGAACTAAAATGTAATTTGTTACTATTCTACTTAATAATTACACTATTTAATCTAAATCCTACAACAATTATAGTTTTTTTCGTACTAGTCTAATGCTGTTGACCGCAGCTGGCCTTTACAGCTTCACCGGACAATAGGGGGCGAGTGCAGATGGCACTCCAAACCCGCGGAAGGACTTATGGAGCGGCTGGAGCCCAACTCCCGCCTGACGGATACGACTTTACTGTGAGGGCACCGCTAGGGGTTCGAACCTCGGCTCAGGCCGTCGTAATTTTGATCCCCGTTTGATTTGGACGGGGGATCGATCATAGCGTATAGTTTCAATGCAACCCAACATTTCCTGCGATTAAAACTTTCAAATAAACAAAGAATATTAGTACATACGATAAAATTATACACAGCTAAAAGATTTCTGAATTAAAGATTTATTTATTAGAATAATATATACCTTAGATATATGATAGAATAGATATATTTGGTGAAATCAACATGAATGACCACAAATGAAACCCCGTGCAGATCGTCCTGATATTGTACATAATTTGTTGGCAGTAGTCCTTTTACTAACAATTCCTTCTAGATATGATTTATGTTCATTGTAATAATAATTTTACAAACACTGTTGACGAATAATGAATACTAAACAAGAGGAAAGTGGACCTCTAATGTGGCTAACAGCATTAAAGTAGTCCGAAAAAAGACTAATAAAATTGGGGCATGAAAAAAGACTAATAAAATTGGGGCACGAATTGCGTTGGTAAGTTAGTCATAAAAAATATATATAGAATAATCATCGAAACAATTTCCGCGTGGTAACACTTGGAATTTCTTAAAATATAGGTAGTAACACTAGTAACTTACATTACAGCAAAAGAAAATGAATCCCAAACACGAACATATCCAGTGGAATAGCGTACGCGTGCCCTCGTATATTAGAACACCACAATCTCGCATTGTATCGAAAACACAGTCACATCACTACACCTGGATGCGCTGAAACCGGTAAACTTGAGTGTCACGACAATGAAACTGACTGCTCTCTCTGATAGCAAAATACAATATCTTATCAATATGATACCAATAAAACATAGATATTGACGGGGTGACGTAAACTTGGATATCAAAAAGATTTCAATATTTCGCGTTAACTATTTTTACAAATCTATACATATAAATAAAATTGGAGTGTCTGTTTGTAATATTGAAATAACCGTTTACTATATGCATATTAATATAAATACGGTACATACACCAAAATAATATTTTTTACAATTTTCGTCTGTCTGTCTGTTTGTTCCGCTAATCTCTGAAATGGCTGGACCGATTTTGACGGGACTTTTATTGGCAGGTAGCTGATGTAATAGGGAGTAACTTAAGCTACTTTTATTTTAGAAAAATTCTTTTAATTTAGAAAAAAAGTTAAATTGTACGCGGATGAAGTCGCGAGTATAGGTAGTTAGTAATAAGGCGCCAAACTTGCTGTACTATTCACTCCAGAAGCAGTATTAATCCATATTTAAAAAGTATTCGCTTTTAAATATTGACGGCCTCGGTGGTCTAGCGGTTTAGCACACCGCCTTACTACCGATGGTCGCGGGTTCGATTCCTCGCACGGCACAAACATTTGTATTCATGAGTATGATTGTTTGTATCGGTCTGGGTGTTTTCTATGTATGATATGTATGTATTTACGAAAAAAATCTATGTATTTGTATCAGTTGTCTAGTACCCATAACACAAACTTTAGCTACCTTAATTTGGGTCTAGATGGCGCTGTGTGAATTGTCCTGAGATTATTATTATTATTAAATATAGAACGCGTATATAGTTACCTACACATAGCTATTCTATTGTTCGGTATAGTAAATACTTTTAAACTGTTGTTCGGATATGGAGTAATAACCCCATTGCTAGCAATGCACCAAGTCAGATTGACCTCCATGCGGTTCCCCCTGGAAACAATCATGGTAAATTATCATCCTCCACTGGGGTCCAGTGGAGGATGATAAAGCCAGCGTAACGGTTAGCGCAGGCCCGTACCATACCATTATCAATAAAAAAAAGTGCTTTCTTCAAAAATCGCCTGAGCCCGAAAAGAAAAAATAGTGTTACTATTTTGAATATGGAACGCATAGACAGTTACATCACTCATGCGATGGACCGACCAAATCAAAGCAGCAATAGGCGGTCCACTCCACGAGTGTACCAGAATGGCAGACAGTAGAGACAAATTATATATATATTTTATTCTTATTATCATTATTTTTCCTTTTTTTTTTCTCCTGTAAGTAATATACTCACGCACATACACACAACACACACATTAATTAGATATTGGGAAACACGTTCTGGTATTTATTGCATGTATATATAATTCTAAAATAATTCACCACAAAATAATTAACCTAATTGTAAAATAGTCAAATGAAGTGTACATATACTGGATATATTTGGTATCCGCGCTCCCAGCCCTCAAGATACAGGCCTGACCTAGTTTGGGGACTACAGATAATAGAAATATATAAAAATTGTATTGTATTGTAAACATGTAAATGTAAATCTATATACAAATGTAAATGTTAATCTATGTAAATAAATAAATAAATAAATGGCGAGCTGTCTTACGGCGGATGACGTCAGCCTCACATCCCACTATATAATGACCACGACCGTTTTGTCAAGAACATAGGGCTACAGAGTAGCCGCTAGTCTAATGTTCGGTATAATAAAATTTAAACTGCCCGATTATCTTTCACGAAACTAAATTTCTCCTACTTTCATGATAAATGTCTATGGATATCCATATTTATAATAGTGCAGTAACTTGAAACAGTCATGCTCGCTATAAAGTTCAAACTTGTAGCGGCGCGGTGGGCTGCGTTAACCTGCCCTCTAATATGGTTGAGTGCAATGATGGCTGGCTCATCTGTTATACTCGTGACTGGGTACTGCTTGTGGGGACTGGTCTGTTCGGGTTACGAACACTGATTAGACTATTTGCTTTTGCAATAGCATATGCCAGTGGTCACTCTATTCTCCCAAATTTGAATTTAAAAATGAATCTGTATTATTGTAAACATGTACATTATTTTGAAAAGAATACTTGCTGAGTTTTTTGTCATTTCCAACTGATGGTAGATTTGTCATATCATAAGTCTGTAATTGACCCACATGAATAAAGATATTTTGAATTTTTGTAATTGTGTGTGATTAGTAATTTATCACGATGGTTTCTAGAGGGAACCATGTGGAGGTCAAACTGACATGGTGGTACATTGCTAGGTATCAGTTGTCAGTCCACATAACAACAATCTTCTACAGACCTCAGAGTAGACTTTGACAAAAAGTTAATATCAGTCTACTTAGGGTACAGGTAGGCGAAAAGGACTCTTTAGCATGACAGATGTTGGTAATAAATATGCTGTATTAATAATAATTTACAATGAAATTACATTAATAACTCTATTTTACAATTCACAAGCCATATTCAAGTGGTAATTCCAATCTTAACAAAGGTGTTATTAAACTAAGGAATGTAACAATAATATTCTTTGATTGACTTTTTAATGTTGACAGAAGTGTTGCCGTGTGACATGGGTGCATTATAAAGTATGGTCTTGATAATACAGGGTGTTCTTGTTGAGTGATCACAGAGTAGAAGTCCTCTTTTTTTATTCTGAAATAAAAAAATGAATTGTTTCATTGATATGTAATTGACTTTATTTATGATTCAAGAGCCCGGAATAGATTAAGGTGCCTATTTCCTTCTGGTAATAAGGACTCCAAACTTCTAAGATGGTTAAGATAATTGAATTATTAAGTTTAGTTTGAAAGTCTCAATTCTTTGAATTCTATTTTACATGTTTGTGAGGGTGCTCCTCCTCAACACACTCTTGGAACCACAGCTGACTTTCACTTCGTCATAACACAACATTCTTAAGCATCTTATAAGTTTGCATGATGGAGGAAGAAATTGAAGAAAAAAGCCTCTTGTATTTATACTGTTACTAGCGGCTTGTACTGTTACTAGCTCCTGTCTGTGACTTAATACATATAATCATAATTGACTGGGATAAAAAGTAGTCTATATCCTTCTCCATCATAAATAATATATGTATACCTAATTGGCCAATTTTATAATAAGTACTTAATCAGTTAAGGTTTGACAGTGTAACAAACTCACTTACACACTTATAGAAATATCAAATGGAAAAATAAAATGGATATTCAAAATAAATATTTTTTTGTTTGAGTATTTTACTCTTTTAGATTCATTAGATTCTTTGTTCAAGCTGCCATCTTGCAAGCATACACATGACTACTACCACCTGATTGGTAAAACATTGTCTTATGTGTTAGAACCTCGAAATTATGTCCCAAAGATTAATGATTAAACAATAACCATTCCAAGTTTTCCAATGCATTACTGGTAACTCACAGCCATCTCATTCAGTTTAAACGCTATATAAAAGGAATAAATTTCTAACTTACACAATAAAAGACATTGTTCTAATTTCTTCCAATGTTAAAAGAACTCCCGACGAATTCCAAATATTGAAACTAAAGGATGGTACACCATAGCTCAGGTTATAGAATATAATGAATACAGCTTTAAGTAAAGTGCTTGTATTCTCTCCTTCATGTGATATGTACGCTTCTTTTTTAATATAACATTTGTGTTTTTCTTCATCTTTACAAAATATCCATCCATCGCATAATTTTTCGGATATATCACAGAATTGTTTCGCTGAATAAACAAATTCTTCAGGAGTTATTGTAGCCGAATCCATTTAGTACCGAGTACTTTTTTCGATTTTATTTTTTACTAATGGTTGTAAATTGTACAAGGAAAACAGATTATAATGGCAATTAATATGTAGAGCTATAAACTTATAAATTACAAATATATAATAAAAATAATATTATTTAGTCATGAATTAAGAGAATTTAAATAAATTTACAATTTATACAAAGTAAACAACAACAAACAATTTATATTCAGCCATATTGACATTAAGTCATTACTAGACATTGGCATTGATAGTTACATATAAAAATTTGACAGCACACGACACGTGATGTATACAGAGGAAGTAAATAGTACTTGAAAGATTTGTAAATTGAGTAGTGACCTGTGACTACCAACGAAAGCAAGTGTGTTTTGTTTGAAATTTAATTTTATTTAATTTTATTTACTATAAAATAAACTATCATTGTAATTCCTCAGTTTACTAATTCAGTTGGTAATGTTTACAGAGTACCTTTTAAATTTGTTGTACGGTCGTTTATTGCTTCCGTGTCTAATTAAATATCTAATTTAATTACATTACTGCTACTTATTCGCAACCTAAATAGTAGAGGCACGTAATTTTTTTAGGGAGAGCACTGGCGTATTTTGTCTAGAAGCGACATATTACAATAATTTACGTTTTTTTAGAATAAGTTTGGTGTCAAATTAAGTAAAAATTCAAATTGAATTTTAAATATTCGACAGTGCTGTAACTATCTATAATTTTTAGTAAGTTTATATTGTAACTGATCATGTTCTCTAAGGCGGGAGTTCCAATCAATTTAATAGATTACACATAATTAGTATTTTTTTTAATAATTCGTACAAAGTTTTCGTGATCATTCCTCTAACATAAAGGTGAATACAAACTTGCAAAAGAGATTGGTAATAATGGGGACTATTGTCCCTATTGCTAGTAATATATAGTTAGATCTGGTCTCCACATGGTCCCTCCAGGAAACCATTGTGGTTAAATACAGAATTTGTCAGGATCGGCTAACTGCAACATAACCAGACTACAGTAATTCTAATTAGCCCTGCTAGCATATACGGTTAAAAAAGGCAGGTGCACCATCCCATCATTATGTATTACAAGAAAAAATAACAAAATTACCTTAAACCATATAACAACATATAACTGTTAGTTGACTTCAATAAATTAAAAATAAAAAACAAAAACAATTACTAAAAATATGTTAAGCATAATATTTTTTCTTACAACTTATTTCAAACCATTTTCATGCTGATTTAAATATAACTTCTTTAGACAAGATTGCATAACTTTATAAAAAATATAATATAAATTACAGCAATATGAACACACTGAAGCCAAACTGGTTCTCGGAGACGTGTGAGATGTGGCCCGGTGCCACCTTCTCATTTGAAGTTAAAGAGTTGCTGCACGAAGAAAAATCCCAGTATCAGCAGATCCATGTGTTTGATACCACACACCTGGGGAAGGTGTTGGTTCTGGATGGGATTATACAGTGTACCCAAAAAGATGAATACTCATATCAGGTTTGTATATCCTTACTAATATTATAAAGCTGAAAGTAGGGATGTTTTTAACGATTTTATGCAAAAACTACTGAAATTAAGACATTTTGTACACAGATTCTTGGAGGTATTAGAATGAACACAGGATACTTTTTATTTAAAAACTTGTATCTACATGTAAATGCTAATAAGATAAATAAAATTTAAGTGCCTATTTATAATGTCAAATTAACAGCATTCACTTACATTTCTTTTTATTTATAACACTTTATTGTACCAACATAGATTGGAATTTAATAAAATTAAAACATAAAAAAAACTAAGTACAAAAGGCAGTCATCATATTCTTCTTCCTTATCCCCTTTACTTGGGGTCAGCATAATATGTTTTTCAAATATCAAAAATCATTTACTCATGTACTTAAGTCATTTTAGCTGCTCTTGAACATATTTTTTTTTATTATATTTATTCTCTTCCATTCATGTATCCTGTATGCAGTTAATCACATTATTTACTTCCTTTCTTACCATATCATCTTTCACACAGTCCATTCATCACTTTTTCGTCTTACTCTGCCCTTATAATCACACATTCATATATAACATCTCTTCATTCCTACGCATTACATGCCCATACCATGATAGAGGATTACTCTTCGGCCTCTCTGACAAAGTACAAAAGGCAGTCTTATCGCTAATGCAATCTCTTCCAGACAACCTTTAGAAAGAGAGTATTTATAATATAAAAAATAGAGTATATGATGTATGTGTTAAAATATAAAATTATATACACTTATGTATTTGTTCTTGGTAATCTCTGAAATGGCTAGACCCATTATGACGGGACTTTCACTTACAAATAGCTAATTTTAGAAACAGTAGCTTAGGCTACATTTGTTTCAGAATTATTTGTTTTATAAAAGTTAAATTTAACACAGATAAAGTCATATGTATGTATTGCTAGCTTAGCTATGCAAGCTAAGCTAAGCTAGCAATACATACATATATAACATACAAATTACATTGTAACAATGTTGACTAACAATATTATCAAATCTATTGACAGAAAGCAAATATTTGAAATGGTGCTCCTTATTTGAAAAGTACTTAAAGAATCTGAACATATAATTGTTAATTAACAATTTAATGACAAACAAACACTCAAACAATACACTTAATTTTTCTATAATACTGTATGTGGTACTATAATAATAATGGTATTAATATTATAAATGCGGATGTTTGTTACTCTTTCATGTAAAAACTACTAAATAAATTTTAATTAAACTTTAGATACAGTATCATCATCTGCTTCTTCCTTATCCCATTTATTTGTCGTCGGCGTAATATGTTTTTCGCTTCCATTCATCCCTCTTCGCAGTCATCGCGTTATTTACTTCCTTTCTTACCATATCATCTTTCACACAGTCCATCCATCTCTTTTTTGGCCTTCCTCTGCCCTTATAACCATCCACATTCATTTGTAACATCTTTCTTAAAATATTATCCTCGTTCCTACGCATTACATGTCCATACCATGATAGACGATTACTCTTCAACCTCTCTGACACCGGTGCCACTTTCATACTTCCTCTAATGTATTCATTCTTTATCTTATCCATTCTTGTCACACCACACAAACAAACACAAACTTTAGATACAGTAATATAGCTTATACATCAGAATAACACATACGCTATAAATTTCAACAGGGTGAATCCGCCGGCCAATCTAGTTTATAATAATATTTTTATATTTCAAATTATAATGTACTTACTTGCTGTGCCTGAGGTTTCACTCGCATTAAATTTATAGCCTGTGTTGTTCTGATAACCTATATTACTGTAAAGTTTCATCAAAATCTGATCAGTTTGTTTTGCGTGAAACATTAAGAAATAAACATCCATCCATACTAACAAACTTTCGCATTTATAATATTAAAATGAGATAATGTAATATTAAATATTGTATTTACCTGTGCAGTACATTTATTACAGGAAATGATATCATTTCTGCCTTTGTGCTGCCACAAAAACCCTGAAAAGGTGCTCATAGTGGGAGGTGGCGACGGCGGCGTGGCGCGCGAGGTCGCCAAACATCCTAAAGTTAAAGAAATTGTTCAGGTAAAAGTCTTCTTTTATGTATTTTTTTAAAGATATTGAAGTATCTTATTGACTATTCCATTCATACTTGTTAACCTCGGGGAAAAGAACTGCTTGTAATATGGACATACCCCATTTCTACTATGTCAGGTTGACCACCACGTGGTTCCCCCTGGAAACATCGTAATAAATTCTTGGTGAAATGATAGGCTAACTGACCTGACTTTATGCTCATCTTATCCACTGATGTCCCGCCAGCGTAAACCGTTAGCGCAGACGGATGCACCATTCCATTATCTATACATCTATACATATAAATAAAATTGGAGTTTCTGTTTGTAATATTGAAATAACCGTTTTTTACTAAATGCATATGAATATATATAAGGTACATACAACAAAATAACATTCTTTATCATTTTTGTCTGTCTATCTGTCGATCTGTTTGTTCCGGCTAATCTCTGAAATGGCTGGACCGATTTTGACGGGACTTTTTTTGGCAGGTAGCTGATGTGATAAGGAGTAACTTAGTCTACTTTTATTTTAGAAAAATAAAGTTAAGTTCCACGCGGACGAAATCGCGTGTACGCTTAGTCATCCATAAGAAAAAATGTATTAGATAGATATGTAGTAGGTATTTACAAAAAATTAAATATGAACTTGCGTTATCAGTGAGTGAAGCGTCAATTAATGTCAAATATTGTTGCTATCTTATGAAGGCATTACAAGATAAGGACCCTACTTAATACTCGTGTACTGTGTCATTAAAATTATTAAAATGATAACATTATCATTTAGGGCTTAGTTAATAATTTGAATTTTTTTCTAATAGGTCCAGTTGGCTTCATAAAGATTTTATGTTTCAGGGTCAAATATATTTTTAGAATTATCTCAGCATATAAATTTTAATTTGTAACATACTTACGTTAATCTTCAATATATAAATTTCAATAAAAAAAATATGACCTATATGTTATTCTAAGTTTCATCAAAATCAGTAGATTTTGCGTGAAAAAGTAACAAACATCCATACTTAGAAACTTTCGCGTTTATAATATTACTAGCTTTTCCCCGCGGCTTTGCTCGCGTTAATTTATCCTTAGGGGTGGAATTTATCAAAATCCTTTCTTACGGCATGCCTACGTCATAGTAGATTTATGCATGCAAAGTCTCAGTACGATCGGTTTAAAATTGACAAACTTTCATACAAACTTCCATCCCCTATTTTATCCCCTTAGGGGGGAGGTTTAAACAAAATCCTTCCTTAGCGGATGCCTACGTCATAACATCTACCTGCATGCCAAATTTCAGCCCGATCCGTCCAGTGGTTTGGGCTGTGCGTTGATAGATCACTATGTCTGTCACCTTTGAGTTATATATATTTAGAAGATTAAGATTAAAACACTTGACATTTATCGTACGTATATCGTATATTTGGCGCAATTTACGTGATATACTTTTAAATAATAGCCTATATGATATTCTGATGTCTAAGTGTTGTATGAGTCTGCTGTGACCCACACGATCTGGATGCTGATGTATAAATTGTAAGCCCGGGCTGCTTTCCAACTTGATATATTGAGTACACGATGATTGAGTGTGGACTGACGCTTGCTTGTGAGTATTTGGTGTACTGAAGGGAAAATGGTATGTGTGGGCGTTATATGGACGCGGAGCCGTGTAAAATGTTGACAGCTGTACGGTGACGCACCGTACATGTGTATAAGCTATGTTACCGTAAACTTTCATCGAAATCCGTTCAGTAGTTTTTGCGTGAACGACAAACATCCATCCATCCATACTCATGCACTTTCGCTTTTATAAGATTTAAAATTTGTATGACCAATAATTGTGATCTTAGTATCAACTGCTTCCTGCAAATAAATTCATTTCACTTCACACATTTCATTTAAAAATCTTAATAATAAATAATAAGCGACTACATTTATTTTGAGATAAGAAATAACTGAACCGCACACTATATGCTACTCTTAACCGCACCTCTATGCATCGCACAAACGCTATGTACGAAATTAAAGATTTTATTTTTATTTCGTTAGGTTGAAATCGACGCAAAAGTTATTGAAGTTTCCAAGAAGTACTTACCGTTCATGGCAGTTGGTTTCGAGAGCGAGAAGCTCACACTCCACGTGGGGGACGGGTTCGAGTTCCTGAAAAGTCACGAAGCTGAATTCGACGTCATAATAACAGATAGTAGCGACCCCATAGGCCCGGCTGTCCACCTGTTCGAGGAGAACTATTTCACGCTTATGAAGAAAGCACTAAAACCGGGCGGCATTGTCTGCTCGCAAGCTGGTACTGTATGGAATGATCTAGAATTAGTGACGAGTACACTGAGGTACTGTAAGAACCAGTTCGCAGTAGCTGCCTACGCGTACGCCTCTGTACCAACGTATCCTTCAGGGCAGATAGGTTTCGTTGTCGGATCGTTGGATAAGGACGCGAAACTCGAAACGCCGCAGTTGGTGTTCTCGAGAGAGGACGAGAAGGCGATGAACCTGAGGTACTATAATAGCGAGGTACATAAAGCTGCATTTGTTCTACCAACGTTTGTTAAGTATCAGCTGGCCTGAACTGAAATCTTATTTTATCCTAGTACCTTATGGTGTACTTAAATATGCATTTTATTGTCAGTTATAGCTATATATCAAACTAGGTTATTCCTTAGAGCAAACAAAAAGTGTGTGGTGGCAAAAGTTGTATGTTGCAATAAATACATGTGATGAGAAAAAAATGTTAGGAAATTAATCATATTTAACTATATATTACTAACTTTTGCCCGCTCGCGTTAATTTATCCCCTTAGAGGTGGAATTTATCAAAATCCTTTCTTAGGGGATGCCTACGTCATAGTAGCTTTATGCATGCAAAGTCTCAGCCCGATCGGTTTAAAATTGACAAAGTTTCATACAAACTTTCATCCCCTATTTTCTCCCCTTGGGGGTAGAATTAATCAAAATCCTTTCTTAGCCAAATTTCAGCCCGATCCGTCCAGTGGTTTGGGCTGTGCGTGGATAGATCACTATGTCAGTTACCTTTGAGTTATATATATTTAGATAGACTAGCAACTCACCCCGTCTTCACAAGGATGCAATGCTGACACCAAATATACCTACCTACTAAAGGATGTCCTTATAAACAGTTTACAGGTTTTTTGTCATTAGTACAAACATGTCTTGTTTAGCAGCTCCGGCCGAGCCGGTACCGCCGCACCGCTATGTCTCTGCATTTTAAATCTATAATACCTTCGGAAATATTCATTTAAATTACATTCTACAAAGGACCATATTGATCGCGACAGCGACTTTGTTTTATACTATGTAGTGAAGAATATAAATCTCTTGTGACATTGAAAAAACTAATGATTACTAGCCGCGAGGAATCGTACCCGTGACCTCGACATCAGAAGTAGAGGGGTGTGGGAACTAGACCACAGAGGCCGTCGAATTTACCTCCAAAGTTTTAGAATTACATTCCAGAATTAGCTTTAGAAACGTTGCGGTTTCTCATTGCATGCTCTAAGGAATTCCCTGAATCTCTATACGTGCCTTTAAATTAAGACATAATATATATATTATTATGAAATACATTCCACTCTTATGTGTAATACCTGATAGTTTTAATATTATTAATGTAAAATAGACTGATTTTACAGGAAAATATGAAATTGATATTAAAATAATGTATCAACAAAATTTGTATACAATATATGTATTTAAAAATATAATTAAATTTTTAAAAGAGATTTGAATCTCGTCATTTTATCGGTTTATATGAAATACTTGTATAAAAAAATTATATTGTAATATTGTTAAATTGTTATTGTAATTGTTATCTAAAGTATATTGACATAGGGTTTACTGTAATCCCATTGAAATTTTATGTGCCTTTGTGAATTCAACTTCATTCCAATATTTGTTTTATTGGTGTATATGATATATAGTTTATTCGAAAATAGATTTAAACTGTCTATTTTCAAGGTTCTTTTTTTATTTTAAAATAACAGAAGTGTTTGCTCATTATTGTGATAAAAAGATTATAATTCCATATTTTTGTACAAGATTTTTTTTCATATTTTAAGATGTTGAATCGGGAACAATAAATTTATATTTTTTAAAGATATTGCTTTATTTCTTAATAATAATAATAATCATTATAATTATAATGATTAATCTCAGGACAATTCTCACAGCGCCGTCTAGACCTAAGTTAAGCTAGCTAAAGCTTCTGTTATGGTTACTAGATAAATGATACAAATACATAGTTTTTTTTATCGTAAATACATACATATTATAGATACATAGAAAACACCCAGACCGATGCAAACAATCATACTCATGAATACAAATGTTTATGCCGTGCGAGGAATCGAACTTGCAACCATCGGAAGTAAGGCGGTGTGTCGCCGCTTGACCACTGAGACCCTCATTTTAATAATACAAACTACAATACAATAAATCCAATGAATTGTTCAATTAGGTAGAAAAAAATTTTGTTTGTCTGATTCAAAATTAAGGTACGGATTAAAAGCATGTCAGTGGTGGGAACCGTCCTCGCAAACAGCATCTGTTCACTGTCCACGAGTATGACGGTTGAACCAGTCCAGATTTTATAAGCTGGTACACCTCATCAGTTATTTTTAAACTTTCGTGTTTAATATACATTATTTAAATTATTAACCGGGTCTTAACACGAATAATTTTATGGCAAGTAAAGGTGAAGCCTCTATTGATCGCCACTATCATCCACGAATGGTCCGGGAGGCGATTGAAATTAAAAAATGTCCCAATTTCAACAGAGAGGATGGCTTAAAATTATCTTCTGCGTGAATCCAGACATACATAAATTTAAGCAAAGTTCAGTAGCATCAACAGTCGATAAGTGTACGAATACCGTGAACGCTGAGTGTCGTGAACTTTTCTTAAACAATCTAGTGACGGTAGATGAAGAAAAAAACTGCTGTCACCTATCTACATTGACATCGCTGTTGCTCCAGTCAGCTCGTGACCACGGCTAGTGCAACCTAGTCGAAACGTCGAGAGGTAAATACCTTTATTTGCCATAAAATTATTCGTGTTAAGACCCGGTTAATAATTTAAATAATGTATATTAAACACGAAAGTTTAAAATTAACTCTTTTCTTGAAGGTTTCAATATCGTATCGGTTCGGAAATGCCATTGCTGGAAGGTGATTCCACAATGTAGTTGTGCGAGGCAAAAAGTTTCTAAAAAACCGCACTATGAGGTGTTACCTCATCAGTGTCATTCTTGACTCCCCTCCGATCGATCCCCCGTCACAACACAGCCAACGGTTTAGCAGCAGAAATAGATGAGACAGTACCTTCTTCGACAACTTTATACAAAGTGTAGCAGCACACATGATTAGTGGAATACAGCTACGCGCCAACTGCCGGCGCAACGCGATCGCCGTGCTTATAAACCCGGTGCGAGCAGGAGCGCACTAGCATTGCCTTCTCACTTCATGAATGGAATCGCCTGTTTGTATAGTATACTAGCTGTATTCCACTAATCATGTGTGCTGCTACAAAAGTATAACTTGGTAAAATTAATAATACAACGAATATAGAAGTATACTATTTAATTCTACTAATTATCTACACTGGACACGTATGCTCGTCTCTTTTGGTTGCCTTCTCGCTCCGCGTCCGTTAACGCTGAGAATACGGCGCCATTTTTCACTTTTTTTAATATCTTTTTGTCGTGGAACGGATGTGTGTGTACTGAGATCCTGAAATATTAATTACACTATTAAACCTGGTATTTTTTTAAGATTATTACACTATTTTTTTATTGCCGGTAGATTTGACATATCATAAGAGTCTGTAATGGACCTACATGAATAGATATTTTGAATTGAATTTGAATTTATTGAGGCTATTGTCAGGTTCTAAGACCTGTAAGACTGCGATCTGCCTAGATCTATTCTGCTCGTACTTTTTCAAATTACCTAGATTAGATTAGTTTGCTATTGTAAACATGTACAACATTTATTTCAAAAGAATACGAGCTGAGTTTCTTGTCAGTTCTATCTAAAAATCATTCCTAACTGACGGCAGATTTGATATCATAAGATTCTGTAATAGACCTACATGAATAAAGATATTTTGAATTGAAGATCGGTCAATGACAAGAATTTAAGTATATTTTGTTAAGTGAAGAATGTAATTATTTATTTATTTAACTTCAATGCACACAATATACAAAATATAGTAAAGTACATTTGGCGGACTTAATTTAATGGCATTTTCTATCAGTCAACCATAGGTGGTGCAGAGAATAATTATCTCTTTAGGATAGAGCGTATACTTTCCAAAGATATTTCGTTTGTGCATGAGTAGGCTACAACCACATAGCATGTGATTCTTCACTTCCATATCTTCTTATCTTATATCATACATTGACAATAGCATAATTGAGGGTAATGGGATTGTTAGTAATGTAGATTAATGCCCCATTGCTAGCAATGTACCATGTCAGGTTGACCTCCACGCGGCCTTGAAACCATCATGATAAATACTTGTGAATTTGTCACGATTTTCTGATAATAAATGTTATTATTGTATTGTATTGCCGCAAACTTTTATCATATATACATATGATAAAAGGTTTGTGGCTTCGCCCCCGGAAACACGTTATCTTATATTCCCGTGGGGAAAATATAGATATGGAACCACGGAGTGACATCACGTCGTCACGGGACGTGACTGGTGGCCCGACAGCGTAAACCGTTAGCGTAGGCGGGTACACCATTTCATTATCATCCATAAAAAACCGTTAACGCAGGTGGATGCAACATTCCATCATCATGTATTAAAAAATAGTGCACCTCTGTAGTACGATGTCTCCCCTGGTGACAACGTGCGCGGGACACTTGATGCTGCTGACGTAGTCCACGCAGCGCCACTGCCGCGTGTTGTTCCTGTTCGTGTGTTTCAGGTAGTACACGAACCGGTTCAGTATCATCTGCAACGAGCCCTGGTTCGACACCGTGTACTGCATCACGCTCACGTCTGTCGACCGTTCGTAACATCTATGAATATGAAGACAGATAGACAGACAGACACAGGTCATCCCCGTAGAGGGGTGAAGGTTAGGGCTTCGGGGCGGGCCCCTTTGCCCCGGCATCGACTTCAAGTGCAGCAACCCTCGGGTGACAAGGTATAACACCCTCTTCAGGAGGGTTACTAAATTAATTTATAGGGATTTAAAAGAAGTCGCCGGAGCCGTAGTAGTTACGGTAACGAATATGAAGACAGACAGGTAATTCTCACCCCCTAGGGGGGTAACGGTAGAAGTCTCCTAGAACAGGTTACTAAACTCACTTATGCTAGGGTCTTAAAAGAAGAGCAGGATATTATATAGCCTATAGACGTACTCGTTATATGCTCTATCCAACACTAAAAGAATGTTCTCAATCGACCATTCAAATTATTCACGAACATTCAAACTCACAAACTTTATCTCTTTATAATAATATAAATTGTTTAAGTAATAGATTATTTTAAGATATTACTAATTTATTTATTAGATTACTATGTTACAAAAATAATCTATTTGTGTATTCCTGAATTATTATGTGTATTTTTCCCAAAAATTTTCAACCCTCCTGATCCTATAATTCTGTTCCTAAATGACTAAATCATACTATAAAAAAAAACTAGAAAATGGCTAATGGGACCACAAATTTCCGGAGCCAAAGAGAAAAAAAATATCTATTTTATGTACAGAATGTCAGATCCCTGTATACTTTTTTGTTCTATTTATTTTTAGGACATGCAAAGAGAACTATGCCCATACAGCCAAATCTGTTTGAAACAGTGCCGGAATTCTATTTTTATGAGTGTAGGCCACTTTATTTCCGCCGCATTTCTACAATAATAATTTTCTCTAATTTAATTGTTTAACTTTTATCCTCTGAAATCTGCCGCCCCTAGGCCGCGGCCTATATGGCCTATTTATAAATCCAGGACTGGTTTGAAATTTATATGTACATTTAGTCATTAATAGGTATACTTACTGCTTGGGTCAACTTTTTTACAAGTAACAACATTCTCTATCTTGTCGCTGGTCGGTTCGTTCGTTGACATGATTGTGTCGTTAACGTTATATTCCTCTGCGCCGTCACCGTAATGCTCTTCAACTGTTATCTCTTCTAATTTAGTTGTGCTTACAATATCCGATACACTGAAACAATTAGTCCTTGATATTTGTATTTACAAATAAAATGTAACGGCGACTGTACCGAGTAATTTGAATAATAATAACTCTAATATACAATCTAATACTAATGACTATTCACACAGCGCCATCTAGTCCAAAGATAAGCAAAGCATGTCTTATGGGTACTAGACAACTGATAGATATATATTGTTCATACATACATAATATAGATCCAAAAATAAAATAAACCAGATCAGTATAAACAAAATAACTCTATGCATAGACAGGATTAGTAAAAGCCTTATTGCTTAAAACAATTCCTTATAAAAAACCTTGGAGTGCAAAAAGATGTCATATTTTTCTTTATTAGTTGTGTAAAAACATACTTAGATTTGGATTCCACACTTTTTGGTTCGGCTATTTCGAAATAACAAATCTCTTCATCCATTGAGTCCACGGTTGTATTGTTCAATAGGCGCTCTTTTGACTCCGAATTTGTGTGCATATTCTGAAAAATATTTCTCATAAATATTTAGCCATATACAATTAGGTGTCTATGTCAATCTCACTAAAAGAAAATAATGATCATGCAGACATGGCTGTATGGGACAACTTCTTTTGCCTATCCTTTAAAGAATAAACAGAACAAAAAAAAACCAAATAATAATAAAAATTCAAGGGACAACTGTCGACAAAAAATAGGATTCAAGATTACAATACGTTTTTTAATGACAAACAAGTTGACGGTTGACGGTAGATCTAGCATTTAGCTGGTACAGTATTAGAAATATACTTCAAAGAGTTTTAAAAAAATAATTTGTAAAAGAACGGAAATACCTCATGGGCACAACTAGTGCAACCTAGTCAAAACGTGGAGAGGTTAATAGCTTTATTTACCACACCCTTTTAATCATGTTAACATTATGTAGTCGGGCATTTTCCCGCCAAATAGCAGCTTAGCGCGGGTAATTTTTAAATTTTGCCGCTATAATTTTGGTTTGGACTTTCGGCAAAATATTGATATCTTACGATCTATTATATATTTTTTTGACATTTACAAGTTTCCTGCACGTTATCACTTTGTGGTACAGACCGAATAAACTCATCTCCCCATTTTGTTATAAAAAAAGGATATATTTCCATAAAAAAAAATATTTCAAAACAAAATGTATTTATAATAACTAAATGCGAAACTTCTCTTATTTTTAGTCAATGGTACAGTAATCAAGTTTATGCTTGCAAGATTTCAACATAAAGAATGAAACTGTAATTAATCTATAGAAAAAAAAGGCATGATTATTTACCATATCCTCAAGTCCTTTAATGTGTAGCTCCCGTCCAGCTTGTATTAACTCACTGAGGTGGTCGCAGGGCACCAGCACTTCTCCTGTATATATATATTCAAGTATGGACCTTAATGTTGTGTAGGATATTTTCTAAAACAAACACAAATGTTGTACATATAGTAGTTACTTCATTTGATGCCAAAAAAAAGAAAGTAAGTATAAAAATTATTCAATGTGTGTAGCTAACTCCTTGATAGGGTTTTATACTATTTTTAAATTTAATAATTATATTTTTTTTTTTTGCAAAATGCTAGTGTTGCCTATTATGAAACTAAAAAACAGGAAACGAGTGGGATAATGGAAAGGAACAACATATTATTGTTACTTTCTATTATATATCGCTGTCATATTAGTCGCATTTTATTTTATCTCCGTATTTTCCTTATTAAAACCCTCAGCACCTCTCACTCATCAGATACATTAGAAACAAACATAAAAAAATATATGTAAAATAACAATCTATACACATATATTAAAAAAAAATCCTGACATAAGGTAAACATAAACAAAAATATGTTCTATAATAATAGTATAACTTAATGAACAATTAAAAATATATGATTTATTTGGCTATTAACATATACCAAATAATATGCCAAATAAATTACTATTTTGTGTTTTGTGAAACTGTTTTTTACCCATTTCATTACTATTCTAAACAAAACAATATCAATACTGTTTAAATAAATGTGTAAATATATTTTTATATATAAATCAACAACCTTGACATGTCTCTTTATGTGAGCCAATATATACAATATTTAATATTTTATTTTGTATTAACTAATATAGTATATCAATATTAAATAGAAAAATTACATTTTTCAAAATTAGAAGCTAGAATTGCTTCCTTTTATATAAGTCAATTAAATTAACCGCGCCGTCTCAATCATTATCTAAATAATTTTAAAATGATATATAATACTTCTGTGTAGATTTAAAACATTAAAGGAGAAAATAATTTAAACAAATTAAAAAATCTTTAAATGCTGGTATTGTAAAAAATGTATATTTTGAATACTGCCTCATAATTTTTCTATTCAACCAATGATATGTCAGTATATATAAACCTTTTTTAATTTTGTAATTAGATGTTACCTTTGTCCTCATCTTGTTTGTATTCAAATTCGAAACCTTTATTAAATGACACATAATTACACAATTTAACAGAAATATTAAATTATAAGTTTAAAAGTGTGACTTCATGTATATGGAATTAAAATTTTGTTTCTAATTAAAATAAAAGTAGCCCAAGTAACTTTTTATAACATTACCTAACTGCGAGTGAAAGACCTGTCAAAATCAAGTGAGCCCTTTCAGAGATTAGCAAGAACATACAGACAGATAGACAAAATTTTGAAATTTATTTAAACACATCAATTTTATTTATTTGTGTAGATTTTGTTGATTTTTAAACAGGACATGCCAAGAATTTATATGTCGTTTATTTCCCATATAAATTAATATTGCTATTGAAAAATAGGGGTTGGTGATAGAAAGGTGAAAATTTACGGTTGTATGTATTTAGAGCCACCCTTAACCCTTAGGGGTATAATAATTAGTTATAAACCTATTCTCAGACCTACTGAATATACATATAAAATTTAATCAAAATTGGTAAAGCCATTTTGGAGGAGTATAAACACAAAACCTGTGACAAGTGAATTTTATATATTACTAGCTACTCCCTACTCCGGCTTCGCATGGATGTACATGTATTATACATATAAACCTTCCTCTTGAATCACTCTATCTATTTAAAAAACTGCTTCAAAATCCGTTATGTAGTTTTAAAGATTTAGGTATACATAAGGATGGACAGATAGAGACAGAATTTGTTTTATACTATGTAATTATATTAGATATAGCAGGATTGATGAAATAATCTTATATATAAAATTCTTGTGTCACAATGTTAGTTACCATACTCCTCTGAAACGGCTTGACCGATTATGAAATTTTATATGCATATTCAGTAGGTCTCAGAATTGGCTACTATCTATTTTTCATACCCCTAAGTGATAAGCGTTGTCCACCACATATTTTTTTTATTTATTGGACAAAATTTTTTATTTAATGTTTTTATTGGCCATAAGAACCAGTTAGCTTCAAAACTACAGGATATAAATAACTGTCCATCTAGATTAAAAAGAGCTCGCCTTGCCAACACCTAAAGAAAGTAAATGAGATGGCACCTTACTGGAGGGGCCTCATCTCAAAAAGCCAATAACTTCAAAAAATCTGATTATAGCCGGAAGGGCTGATCGCAGATAGAGAATAAAAAAAAAATATATTTTTATTGTGTCATTAAAAAATACATACAACCCTAAATTTTCACCCTTCTATCACCAACCCCTATTTCTTTATAGTGTTATTTATTTATATGGCAAAACAATGTGTGCTGGGACAGCTGGTCAGAATATAAATACTTACATTTAAAAATATGACAGGATGTGTACATGTCATAGAACTGAGAATATCTTTTATGAACGGACTAGCGAGGGCCATTATAACTTGATGCACTTTGACAAAATGGCCGTCCGCAGCCAGGGTCATATCCACAAAGTCTCCATTCTGAAATACAACAATAATGAATCTATAAATAGTATAAACAAGACACTGTTTTCGTATCTCTTTCTATGCTTCTTCTAGACCAATGATTCCCAAAGTGGTCTGTATCAACCCCCAGGAGTCTATGACAAACTGCAAAGGGTCTACGACAGTAGTCATCTTGTTGTTTTTACTTTATGTTTTTAACACTAAACTCAACTAAAGTTAGAAATTTCAATATATAACAATAATAACAAAAAAATCAATACCAGGTAAGAATGGGAGGGTCTACCCAAAACCGAAAAATATGGCAAAGGGTCTATGACAACAAAAAAATTTGGAAAGCTCTGTTCTAAAATATCCAATTAGTTATATAGTTCTCTGTTATTTCAAGGACTTCTTTAAGAAGGTTTATATGTATAACTACAGCAATAACTCGCACCGTTACTTCTAAATTTCTAAGTTTTGTATACATTAACATATTATAAATATATCCTATGTCTCTCTGAAATAGACTATGGATTTTCACTTTGTTTACACTAGAAGTGACGATTTCTGCCCTAACTATAAAAAAGAAGTTTTCTACAAATGCGAAATCTACAAGTAGTGTAGTACTAGTAATGTAAATCAGGATTTCAATGAACCTTCTTTTCTAACTTTACCCTATTTCAATCCCGCCTTTTTAAAGTTCCTCTCCGCAATTGAAATGTATAATTATATCTTAAATTAATACTTAATTTATAGGGTTTCCGACCAAAGCACTTTTATTTACATAAAGATTATGCTAATCTATCTTCATAATAAATTACAAATAAATACATTACGAATTTAAAAGAAATTAACCTGTTGAAGAGCACTCAAGCCGTTGCAAATATTCGTCGGAAACGCATCCCATGACAATGAAAAATGAGATTGAGCCATAATTAACACTATTTATAAATACTACAAGACTAAATAAAATTGTTATAATATTTTTAATTCTTTATTTACAAACATAAATAGAAATCATTTAAAGTATAAAACACAAAGTAAAGCCTAAAATTGACTCATAGACTGACAGTGGGTATTAACACTGACATCACAAATACAGAAGTCATTCTAATTACTATGTCAATCAAACAGTTAAAAGTATGGCTGTATGGGCACAGATAAACAGAAAAAAAACGGATGGTACTAAAGGTCAGTCTATGAGTCAATTTTAGGCTTTACTTTGTGTTTGCTTTACTAAAAATAAAATTATAATTTACGTTTATACCTAAACTATTGGAATTATATTACATACATCATTAATAAACAAATCACTGATATCGAAACCACTGAAATCGAATGTCTATTTATTTTGTGGCGAATTAATTATAATCGCGCGGTAACACCGTTGCCTAGTTACGACAGAAGAATAAAATAACAGGCCTGTCATTCGAGACCGAATCATCTTTCATATATATATATTCATTGTAAATACTTCTATATTATAAATATGTAAATAGTCACGACTGGTTTCTCTTAACCTCTTTCTTTCACGCTGTTGCTACAAGAACACAACATAAACACAAATAATAGCGGTAACAATATAGACGCTAAAATTTATTTATTCAATTAACACAATACAAACTTACAGCTAATTGCCGACACGATTATATTTTAAAACTATTAAACTTTACCATGTAACGACAAAAACATTCTTATTTTTTTTATTACAGAATTCAAATTTATTTCTATAAAATCGACAAACTGGAGGGGGCCGAGGAACAGAACTGCAGCTGATGGGTACATTACAAGTATTCTCCTGGAAAATCCTATTTTTCCAACATATAAGTTCAGACACCAATAATAAAAATAGTATTCATGGATATTAATAATGATGACATCTCATAAAAGCTGAAGTTTCTAGTTTTCATATGACATATTATTTTTAATAAAATGTTGTAGACTTTCACTTAAAACGTTCGAATGCAGCGGTAGCGCTCGAGTCGATTTGGTTTCCCGAGAGTGTATTTCCCCATTAGTTGGCCCTTTTTAGGGTTTGTAGGAATCTAAATTACAATTTGGCTTAGTTTTTTTCTCTTTATCTATAGGAATTGCTACAGCTGCCGATAATACATATACAACTGTAGGATAATACCTACATTTTGGAAGCATGAAACAGGGTAGAAATAAAGTAGATAACAGTAAATAAAAGTATATTTACAACTTAACAGTTTAGACGGGTATTTAAAAAACGTAATATTAATTTTTATAAAAATATATATACGAGATGTTTACAAGGTTCGACGTATGCTATAAAAGAATTGTAAGATTTCTTATTACATAAAATGCGCCACGCGTGAACGCACGTCATTTTATGTATTCAATACTGTACCGGTAGATGCAGTTTCGAGACCTTGTGATCAATGTCATCAAGTAAACATTATTTTCTTACAATATTATAAGTAGTTATTTCTAGAAAGAAATTTATAACGTAGTTTTTTATAACTTATATAATACAATTACTTTTTTGAGTATACAATTGTTAATTCTACGTGTTTATTTGTAAATGTCGGTGTTTCCCAATTAGTAGTACGCGTACCCCCAGGGGTACGTGGAGTAGCATCAAGGGGTACATGCTGCTATCAGTAAAAAAAAGAACAATCTCCAAAATATTATTTTATAATCATTCATCATTATCGTAAAAGCACGGAGCACCGAGCAGCGTGGCCCACCGAGCGCTATCCCGCATCTTGTCATTCGGCTGCTCCGCCACCGTTCCCAGTACGGTTTTTGTCGTCATTATGTGATTGCTACAATAAGGGGTACTCATGGTTTGAGGACTTTTTGAAGTGGTACGCAGCAAAAACTAATTGGGAACCACTGGTCTATGTAGTTACTTAAATCACAGAGTAATGCTTCATCAGCGAATTAATTCAGGTTCTCGAGAAGTCATTGCAGATATGAAGATACCCACATGAGCACTGATGTCTTCATAGACTATTTAGGTTCATCGTCATGTTCCATGAGCGTGTCTCCATAACTGTCTTGCTTATTTTTCTTTATATCTTCTCCTTTCTTCTCTGCATCTAATATAGCTGTGAAAACTGCACCGTTGCGCACTTTTTTCAAGATTCTCGAATCGTGAAAAGGATGTATATGCGCTGCTATCCTAAAAACAATAATAATGAGTATATTAAAGATCTTTATAACAGACTAGCTACTCGTCCCGTCTTCTACTACATACTATAAAATAAAGTCGCTATCGCTGTCTGTCCGTCCGTATGTATGCTTAAATCTTTAAGACTACGTAACGGATTTTGAAGCGTTTTCTTAAATATATAGTGATTCAAGAGGAAGGTTTATATATATATAACACATGTACACCCGGGCGAAGCCGGGGCGAGTAGCTAGTAATATAACAATCTCAGGACAATTCACACAGCGCCATCTCGACCCATGTTAAGCTAGTTAAAGTTTGTATTATGGGTACTAGATAACTGATATAAATACACTTTTTTCACAAAACTGATATAAGATTTTTTTTCGTAAATACATACATATTATAAATAGGACACTGATACCTGACTGATACAAACAATCATATTCATGAATATAAATGATTGTGCCGTGCGAGGAATCGTACCCGCGACCATGTGAAGCAGTGTGTTAAACCACTAGAACACTTAGGCCGTCAAAAGTGATGAAGTACCTTTGTACAACCACGTTGTCCGTGGTGACGATGGAGGCAGGACACCGCGACCGGATGTAGTCAACACAGCGCCACACACGCCGCGTCGAACTTCCGGTGCCCTTCCCGTTATATCGCAGGTAGTACAGGAACCGGTTCAGTATCAGTTGCAACGAGCCTTGGTTCGACAACGTGTACTGTAGCGTCACATTATCTACAACAAAATATAGTTAAACTAACCGAGCCCGCGGTTTCACTCGGTAAATAAACTAGCGTTAAAAAAAAAGTAATTCAATTGAGTTTCTTGCCAGTTCATCTCATTTAGATATATATACCGAACTGGACGGTAGGGAAAAAAATAAAATATTATCGTAAAAATTTGACGTTCATAAGCTGCTAAAATGTCCTACATTAATAAATATAAATAATTTTTTAACATAAATGATTTTTGAATTTTAATTTTAATTTGAACGTGTACTCAGGCCCTCATCACTGGGCGCACTGGACACATGCCCAGGGCCCCTCGATGGATTGGGGCCCCTTAATCTAGTACAGTCCCTACTCCATTACCAAACGATAACCGATAGCTACTCTACTCTCGCCTCAAAATCAATCTTCACAAATGCTTATCGACTATGGTCAATTTGTTCGTTTTTGTTATTTTTTTATAAATGTAGGAAGAACTTAAACCCCACATCACATAACTTTTTAAAATTATTTTTGCTTGGTTTGTTTTGAAGGTAGGGCATTCCTATGTACATCTCTAAAGAGTCATGTTCAAAAGTGACTTTGTCTATTCTAACAAAATAGTTTATTATTATGGCAATAGGACCCATTATCCTAAAGTGCCCAGGGCCTCTAATAGGTGAAACCTACAACAAAATATAGTTGAAATAGCAGAGCCCGCGGACCCCTCCGATCAATCTCCCGTCCAAATCAAACGGGGATCGAAATTACAATGGTCAAGGCCAAGGTTTACCCTCGAGGGGCACCGCTGGGGGTCAAACAGGATATAGCCTTCAGCCGCTCCATAAGTCTTTCCGCGGGTTTGGAGTGCCATCTGCACTCGCCCCCATCCGGTGAAGCTGTAAAGGCCAGCTCGCGGTTTCACCCGCGTCACATTTCTAGCCAAAGTATTATTCGACGTCGTATACTGTAGCGTCACATTATCTACAACAAAATATGGTTGAACTAGGTGCGGCCTGCGGTTTCACCCGCGTCACATTCATAGCCTACGTGTACATTAATAATGAGTGCGTAGCGACTTCTATGTTGATTATCGCAGGCCTCTTACTTGTTATACTGTAATTATTTATATAAAAAAAACATCTATTAAAAAGAGTCACTCATTCTTCTTGTGATGAATCTGCATTCCGAATGAGTGGTAGAATCAAAATATGACTACTCAAAAGTGCTTGTAATGAGTTTATTTGAATAAAGATTATTTCTATTTCTATTTCTATATACTTCCGATGGTCGCGGGTTCGATTCCTCATACAGATTTGTATTCATTAGTATGACTGTTTGTATTGATCTGCGTTCTGATCTGTTTCTATGTATATTATGTATTTACAAACAAAAATATTTATGTAGGTATATTTGTCAGCTGTCTCTGGATACTCTAGTACCCATAACTTTATTTATTTATTTATGAGTTTGGGACTAGAGAGTGATGTGTGAACTGTTCAGGGATGCTATTATTAATTATCTTTACATATAAATAAAATTGGAGTGTCTGTTAGTAATATTGAAATAACAGTTTTTACTGCATGCATATGAATATAAATACGGTACATAGGTATACCAAAATAACGTTTTTTACAATTTTGCCTCTCTGTGTGTCTGTCTGTTTGTTCCGGCTAATCTCTGAAATGGCTGGACCAATTTAGACGTTACTTTTTTTGGCAGGTAGCTGTTGTAACTTAGGCTACTTTTGTTTTAGAAAAATAAAGTTAAACTCCACGCGGCCGAAGTCGCGGGAATAACTAGTTATTTTTATAAATATAAAATAATTATTTATAATGGAATGATATAAATAAATTGGATTGTTTTAAAAAAAATAACTATAATATATATAATGGTATACCTAATTATCTACATTTATTTATCATATTTACCGTTATCTTCCTGCGTACTGCTCTTTGCCTTTTCGTGCACAGGTTTTGTTGTGGCTGCTCCCTTTTCAATATTGCTTGTTTCAAATGTCTCAGAATCTGATAGTTCATGTACACTTTCGTTGTCAACGTAAAACGTGTCATCATATAGGGTACTGAAAAGAATACGTACTTACCAGTATATTTAAAGATACATATATTTATTTATATACTCAGATATATTACAGAAATGACAATTAACAGTTATTAGGACTCAAAAGTTTGTCTTATTAATTATGCAATCTTTTCCAGACAAACTTTGGGTAGAGGAGAAAAGACAAAAGGTGGTAGGTGGCGCTAGAATAGTAAAACATTAATAATAATAGCAATATCGTTACATATACATGTATGTATTGTTAGCTGAAACTTCCGCTGGAGGCGCCACCGTCGTGCGACGCGTCTATAAAAGGCTGCAAAACCAGACGTACGGCTCCCCCTCCGATCGATCCCCAGTCCAATTCAAACGGGGACCGATGTTACGACGGCCTGAGCCGAGGTTCGAACCCCTAGCGGTGCCCTAAGACTAAAGTCGTACCCGTCAGGCGGGAGTTGGCCTTCAGCCGCTCCATAAGTCCTTCCATGGGTTTGGAGTACCATCTGCACTCGCTCTCTATCGTCCGGTGAAGCTGTAAAGCCCAGCTGCGACCAATAGCATTAGAGTAGTCCGAAAAAAAAAGCGTGCGGCTTAAACCGCGGGCACAGCTAGTGTTATATATGCCTGCTATATGTTCAAATTTTTAATTACTTTCATCTTATAAAATTTACTAAGTAAATACAAATAATTTAGATGAGAATTCAAGTCTGGGCTCGATTTTACTGCAAGAATAAATGACTTACTCATAATTATTGCCTTTCATAACACTGTCTTCAATTGCAGTCTCCTGTAGAGGGTTAGTTACTGTACATTCAATGTTTGTGGCTTCCCGTTCAGTCTTTCTACTCATATTTGGCATGACCAGTGATGTGTTTATACTGCTTCCCACATTCTGTAATATAGATAGGTAATTTTGTGAGATATAATAAGAACGAGAATCTTATACAACACCCTGTAACTGTACTAAGATAAAACCTAACCTAACCTAACCTAGACCCAAGCTAAGCAGACTACTAAGTTATGAATACTAAATATTTGATTCAAATACTTATATACATTTTTTTGTATAAACATACATCTGTATATAGAATAGAATAGAATATTCTATATACATTCTCACTTTCTGTAATATAGATAGACAATTTTGTGAGATATAATAAGAATGAGAATCTTATACAACACCCTGTAATCCCTACTAAGATAAAAAAAAAATAATAATCATAGACAGTTCACACAGCGCCACCTAGATCCAAGCTAAGCAGACTACTATGTTATGAATACTAAATATTTGATTCAAATACTTATATACATTTTTTTGTATAAACATACATCCTGTATATAGAAAACACCTAGACTGACACAAACAAATGTTTGCAAAATGCAAGGAATAGAACCTGCAACCATCAAATGTATAGTAAAACACCTAAACTGATATAAACATTTCAGTTTGGGTATTTTTATGTATATTATGTATAAAAATATAACTTATGGGTGTATATAGGTATGAGGATGTCAGGGTTTTTATGGTGTGAGTTAAAGGTTGTTTTATTTGGTAAACTACACAAAACTTTATGCCGAACAAATTGTGTGTACTAACTGCAAGGAACATACTACTTAACCTATTGGTTCAGTTGACATATTTATAAAATAGCGAGCGAGCGGACAGCCGCCAATACCCCAGATTGGTCGGCCTGTTCCTACAGTTGTGGCATTGTTTGTAGTGATTTCCACAAACTAAATATTTATATCAGACCTGTTGTACCCATAACACAAGCTCTGCTTAGCTTGGGACTAGATGGCGCTGTGTGAATTTTCCAGAGATATTATTACAGAAACTTGTCATACCATATTTTCAAGGCCCTTTATCTTCAATGCGGTCCCAGCCTCCATGAGGCTTTCAATATCCTCTTGTGCAACAACAACTTCTCCTGTGTACACATACTCTAGAATAGAGCATAGAGTTTTGTGTGATACATTCTGAAATGAGATATTAATAATGTATGAGTACCCTACAAATATCTTTAACAAAGGTTGTAAATTCTAGTTATATTCCACATTCATTTAAATGTACATAGTACAAATAAGCTTGCTGGCAACACCAGGGGAATTACAATTGTGTTGCCAGTCATTTAAGAGGGAATAAGCTCTTTTCTATGATGACATAAGGGTGGTAGCGAGACCATCATGCAGAAGGAAAGCAATGTACAGAACATGGAGTCTATTGGAGGAAACCTATGTTTTTAAATAAGCTGATGAACTGAGACAGTGAAATAGCAATAACAATATTAATTACACAATCAATGCAAAGGCTTATAAATAAATAAATAAAAATATAAAAGCTCTTTTCTTGAAGGTTTCAATATTTTATCAGTTCAGAAATACCATTACAAGAAGGTGGATCCACAATGTTGCTGTGCCTGGTATAAAATATAATGGTATTTATTTGGGAATTATGTATTTTTTTCTATTAAGTGTTAAGGACAAATAATTTTATTCTTAAATTTATTCAAGCTTTTAATAACAGCTATTATATATATAAAGCCAAAGAAGTCGAAGCAGGACATTATAGGCAATTTTCTTTGTAAATTCACCAATATACTTGCATTTTGGGGTCAGCCGTCTTAAGGGAAACCAGTCCTGTGCTATACTTGTCTAATTTTGCTCTCAATCAAATTATAGCAACAAGTAACAAGTAAATGTGAAATGAGCAATGACATAATGTACTTACATTTAAAAATATAACAGGGTGTTGACATTGTATTGATGTGATGAGTGCTTTAAGGTATGGACTGGCAAGTGACAGTACAAGCTGGTGGACCTTCACATGATGCCCGTCAGCTGCCATGGTCATGTCCACAAATTCTCCATTCTGAAACATGTAGTATAATTTTATCGTTGAATCTGGAGTGCCCTCTGTAGATAGTTAATGTAAGACCACATGTAAAATCTTTCAAGATGGTGTATCACTGCTTGGAAGGTCAGCCCCTGCATTTACAAAATTGTCATAAACAGTATTGTGACATGGTCTTGTGTGAAAAGTGGTCAAACTCAAAAATTATGGGGGGAATGGGATTGCTGGTAATATCACAGATAACACAATATGGTAATATGAACTATATACTGCATCATTAGCAAGGAAACATCAAATAAATTCCTGGGTAATTTCCAATGATGAACCGATTGACCTAATCTCATAATTATCCATTAAAAAAAACTCAGAAATCATTTATTCACATTTTATACCTTTATACCTTCTTGGCAAATTATATTACTATTTATTATCAAGAAACTCCACTGGTATATATTATTCTTTTACAGATTCATTCATTTTACATTTTTTTTTGTTTAATTTGGAATGCAAAATCATTTGGTAATTGTTCTTGCAGCATTTTCTGTACAGATGAATCATAAGATCTTAGGTGAACCTATTCCAGTCTTAAAATTCAGATAAATCATTGAAGGATAGATTTAAGTAGACCTTAGGATGAAGAATCTTACTTGCTGCAGTAAACCTAATCCCTTGCAAAAATTCTTTTGATACATATTCCATGATAGGGTAAACTTTGTTTGTGTCATCGCGCTTGCAGTTAATTTAGTACAATGTAAGAATATACGCCTATATTTCAAAATTACTGTAAGAATTTTTAAACTAATTATTGAAATATTTGAAAACATAAACTTCTATAACAGCACAGATTAGACTTCTGACATGTTTTCTTTACTCTTTGCTTTTGATCACAGATAACATAATATTACTTACATCTGACAAATTACCAGCTCAGAGTAGATTGTTTTATCGAGGACTAGAAAATGCTAGGACCAAGTATCAAAGAAATATCCAAGAGAAAATGTTATCTTTATATTATAGTTTATGCCATGAGCAAGTAATCACTATGTTACGATTACTTGTATAACTATACCGTCGTGTCGTGATACTCGTGGCCTAGTAGTTGCTACCAAGCTGCATTAAGGAGTATTGTTAAGACTACAGTGCCGACCGATACATTAAATAAAAATAAATTGATATTTGCAACTGTGGTGATGGAAATAACGAAACAAGGGTGGCATCTAACTCTCCACAGTCGCAGCTAATAATCTAATCATAAAAATAATGCCTTCTAAGGCGGTGGACTTAGAAACCGTACCTTACTCTGGGTGGATTCTTCACGATGGGTTGATTAATTTTATACTCATACTATCATTTTACAATGATGGCCCGCCAGAATAATTAGTTTTCGAAAACAGGAGGTACATTCCATCATCACACGATTAAAACCAACTAAAAAGCATGTTCAAATTATTTATTGTAATTAAAACACGTTATTTAATATTTATTTACATTAATAGAAATTTTCTTACTAAAACAACCGAGTCTATACTCACATAGAAAAATAATAAGTCAATTTTACAATTAACATCCATAAATATTACAACAGTTATGACTATTGCCAGATAATGATATCAATTTAAAAACATTTTAGATTAGAAAATAATGAATAAATAGTAATTTCACTGACAGTAGATTCTGAGGGCCATGTTAAGCGTACCTCTTTGGGGATAAATGGGAATCAGTCATGACTTTATTCTTAAATAACTTTAGTGTTTCAGTTATAGCACTATCAACATCCTCACAATGCATTGTTAGTGTTATTTATTCTTCGATGGCTTCTCGAGTTTCTAGACACATCAATTGTTCTGTGTTTTATGTGAGCACAGGAATTCCTTCCATACATTTATTCGGAATCTTGTTCCATTTCCGTTATTGTTTTAGGTCCCATATTAGTCTGCCTATTTTTCTTTAAATCTTCACCTTTCTTTTCTGCTTCCGGAATAGCTGTGAAAACTGCACCGCTGCGTACTTTTTTCAATATTTTGGAGTCATGGAATGGATGTATATGTGCTGATGCCCTAAAATATAATACCATTAATTAGACAATGTATAGTCAATAAGGACAAAAATTTCGAAAAAATGATTTTAGTGAATGTGAATAAAACAATTATATGATGAAGCTATCATGACAATAAATTAATATTTGTAAAATAACTAATTATAATTTATGGTTGCTTGCTGGTTTTTTACGCTTTGTGGCTTATACCACACTTACGGGCTGAACCAAGTAAGTGCTGTGTGTGTGTGTGTTATTATTACTAATATTATTATTATAATGTAAACATTGCTTTCTTAGGGGGATAGACAACAGATACAAAGTTTTTTTTTACCTTTGTACAACTACATTGTCTTTGGTGATGACGGAGGCCGGACAGCGTACTTCGTTGTAGTCTATGCAGCGCCAGCGACGAGGCGCCAGGTTGTCTTTACCCCTCTTGCCGATGTACCTCAGGCAGTACATGAAGCGGTTCAGTATCAGTTGCAGCGAGCCTTGGTTCGATAATGTGTAGAGTAGTGTGCCATCTATAATATAATACAAATAATCAGACTCAATAGCTGCCTTTGTACAAGTTCTTTCACACACAGGTTTATCTTCCCGCGCTAAAACGTTACATGTGAAAATCAACGCGCGCGTCTTAGCGCAGGAAAATCAACGTGCGCATTTTAGCGCGTGAAAACATCCCGCGCGTTTTAGCGCGGGAAAATCAATGAGTGCGTTGTAGCGCGGACAAAGCAACGCGTGCGTTATAGCGCGGGAAAATCAACGTGCGCGTTTTAGCGCGGGAAAACATGGCGCGCGTTTTAGCGCGGGAAAATCAATGAGTGCGTTGTAGCGCGGACAAAGCAACGCGTGCGTTATAGCGCGGGAAAATCAACGTGCGCGTTTTAGCGCGTGAAAACATCGCGCGCGTCTTAGCGCGGGAAAATCAATGAGTGCGTTGTAGCGCGGACAAAGCAACGCGTGCGTTATAGCGCGGGAAAATCAACGTGCGCGTTTTAGCGCGTGAAAACATCGCGCGCGTCTTAGCGCGGGAAAATCAATGAGTGCGTTGTAGCGCGGACAAAGCAACGCGTGCGTTATAGCGCGGGAAAATCAACGTGGGCGTTTTATCGCGGGAAACCAGCGCACGCACTCATGTGTGATTGCATTCATCTATTTTCTGTGCTCACACTTTCGCGCGTGACTATACTACGCATATGTGTCATGTTCTATTTTCTTCTTTCCTAATGTAAACACAATTTATTCGAGTTTGATATTTTATTAAGTTAATTATGGATATAATATACCTTTTATATTATATCCTTTCTTCTTGTCAATTTTACGTGGAGTTTTAAAATAATACTTCTCCTCCTGGCTTGTACTTGTGATTGAATCAAAAGTTGAAGGTTCATTGGCACTATCTTTATCTTCTATTTCATAAGTCTCTTCAAGCAGCGTTCTGAAATAGTTTACATAATAATCTTATATATAAAATTCTCGTGTCACAGTTTTCGTTCCCATACTACTCCGAAACGGCTTGACCGATTCTCATGAATTTTTGTGAGCGTATTGAGTAGGTCTGAGAATCGGCCAACATCTATTTTTCATCCCCCTAAATGTTAGGGGTAGTCCAGCCCTATTTTTTATTTTATTTTAAGGCAAAACAACGTTTGCTGGGACAGCTAGTATAGTATAAAAAGATTGGGCGGTAGATAAAGCTAGATGTATGTTTAAGAGATTTGTTAATGGGTGATAACGGTACAGTGAATCCGTTTGGATGACGAGGCACCAGTGGGAGATGATAAAATGATCATGAGGTCATGTCATTTAGCCGATTGTGACAAATTCACCAGGAATTTATAATGACGGCTTCCAGGGGGAACCGTGTGGAGGTCAGCCTGACATGGCGCATATTTTTGATAGTGGTTTATTGCTAGTAATAGAGTTATTAGTTCACATTACTAACAAACACGCTGGAACCTAAGTGGTCCAGAATAGTGCGGTTTTAGAGGAGTTTCCTGCTGCCTACACTTAGATTATGGAATGAACTTCCTGCCGAGGTTTTCCCACGAGACAACAGCATGGGGTTTTTCAAGAAGGGTATATTAAGGTGTCTTAAGGGTCGGCAACGCGCACGTGATACCCCTGCTGTTTCAGTGACAGTTGCAACTTACAATCAGGTGATCTGCTTGTTTATCATTCCTGTCAGATAATAATTCGATATAAATAACTTACTCTTCTTCACTCATCTCCTTGTCATCACAATCTTCATTTGCAGAATCAGATGCCTTTACATTAGTTGATATATGCGGCAGTACCAGAGATGTATTCATACTGCCCATCTGTAAGTTGATTTGCAGTTTTATCTAGTTATATTTACTTATACTTTTCTAATTATCTAGATATCTAGTTTTTAATGTACAAATCTATACATATAAATAAAATTGGAGTGTCTGTTTGTAATATTGAAATAACAGTTTTTTACTACATGCATATGAATATAAATATGGTACATACACCAAAATAATATTTTTTACATTTTTTTCTGTCTGTCTGTTTGTTCCGGCTAATCTCTGAAATGGCAGGACCGATTTTGACGCTACTTTTTTTGGCAGGTAGCTGATGTAATAAGGAGTAACTTGGACTAGTTTTATTCTAGAAAAATAAAGTTAAATTCCACGCGGACGAAGTCGCGGAGTCAGCTAGTATTAAATATGACAATTGCTCATTATTGTGTTGCCTTTATAATTGACAGCCTCGGTGGTCTAGCGGTTTAGCACACCGCCTTACTTCTGATAGTCGCGGGTTCGATTCCTCGTACGGCACAAACATTTGTATTCATGCAGCGTGCTAAACCGGTAGACTGCCGAGGCTCACATATAGATAAAAGTTTTGTGATATATTAATACATACCATATCTTCGAGGCCTTTTATCTTCAGCGCCTTGCCAGCTTCAATGACATTGCTGATGTCCTCCTGTGCCACAACCACTTCACCCGTGTATACATATTCCAAAATGGAACATAGTGTTTTGTATGATATATTCTGGAAAATAAAGTTTCAATATATTACCAACTAGCAGTTCCCGCGACTTCGTCCGCGTGAAATTTAACATTATTTTTCTAAAACAAAGTAGCCTAAGTTACTCCTTATTACATCAGCTACCTGCCAAAAAAAGTCCCGTCAAAATCGGTCCAGCCATTTCAGAGATTAGCCGGAACAAACAGACAGACAGACAAGTTTTGTAAAAAAAAGTTATTTTGGTGTAAAATATATGTCAAAACAACGCCAGGACAGCTCACTATATAATGTTGGATGTTTTTAGTGCACTAAGGTAATATTACTAAATTATTTCAAGTGTTTTTTATTAACATTGGATGTTTTATTAAATATCCATAACAACTTCTCCATTTAATAATTAAATGGAGAATAATTTAATCAATAATAGTTAGCATTATTAGAGATTTAGAATTATCAACAAACTGCTTAATATGTAATTTGTTGGCAAATGCCATAACTTTTTAAAAAAATCTTTTACATACACATAACTTAGTTATAAACAAAATAATATAGTCATTGTCTATAATGTAAGTGCATGCTATTGCTCAGTTCAGCCAGGGGCAGATCTACCTAAGGGCTTTTTGGGCTGCAGCTCAGGGTTCCGAGGGTACAAAGGGCCTCCAACCCACAGAAACAATATTTAGAATATAAAAAAAAATGTTAAAAAACCTATCATAAGGTTGGCAACCCTGAAATCATTAAACCAATGTAAGTGCGTATCTATCAAAAGAAACGAGGAATTTGTTTGAATAATCACTTGTTTTTGGTCAGTGTATTTTTCTAGTTGAGTAATGTAATTAAGTAGGCCCCTAAGTATATTTAGCCCAGGGCCCCACAAATTCACGATCTGCCCCTGAGTTCAGCTAATAATTGAGGTAAGGGTATAAAATAATAAGTATTCTCACATTTAAAAATATTACAGGATGCGGACATTGAATTGATGTGATGAGAGCTTTAAGGTATGGACTGACGAGGGACAGGACAAGCTGGTGGACCTTTACATGATGCCCGTCTGCTGCGAGGGTCATGTCCACAAACTCTTCATTCTGAAATAATACAAATTATTATAGGTATATTGGTAAGGAAGGACATCATCAGTATGTAATGTGATAAGAGCAAAAAATGGCACCAATATAGCCACAAATATTTTACTAACTAATGTCATATATAGAATAGAATAGAAAGTATTTTATTCAAGTATGTAAACTTAATTTAAGCATTGTTGAATAGTCATCACAAATTTTTTAATCCACCACTCATTCAGAAAGCTGTCATATTGCATGAAGAATAAACAAGAAACTTGTGTGTAGCTCGTTTAAATAACCATTGCAACTTTACATTTTTAAGTTGAAATATGTCAATATAACCAACTAGCACTAATTTATTAGGGTCAAATATAAATACACTAAGATTAAACCCATCATAGTGATTAGAGCAGACCAGTCCCTACAAGCAGCACTTGTTCACGAGTATGATGGATGAGCCAGCCATCACTGCGCTTGGCCATGTTTTAGTGTGCCCAATGACCCAGCCCACCACAACATTTTAGTGAGCATGACTACTCAAACCATTTGAACATGACATAGCTACTTAAAATTACCATATGGTAATTATAGTAATATATAAGGATATAAAGATGCATTTCCTTATTAGACATGTATTTATTTTACATATAATTAATTAATTAAAATTATTATTATGGATTAAAACACGTTTATACTTTAGAATCATGTTTATTAATATGAATGTTTGTATTGAGGTTTACATAGAATGATTATGTTTAAGTACCTCACATGTTTTACTTTTTTGATAATAAGTTATTTTGAGGGTGACAATAAAGGACACATACAATTATTGTTATACAACAATTATGATATGTAATAAAATTTAACATAATGTAAATTGTTATGAAGAAATGAAATAAAAAATGTGGCAATCAATACAAAACAGCTATCAGCTATATAAAACAATATAGTTATAATAAAAAACAAGGACTATAATAAAAGATATATAAAAGTTTCTAACATATATACATATCATATTACTGTCTCTAGCACTGAATCAAGTAGATCCTGTAATATAAGTTTATTTTGTATTGTTTAATATAGATATTCTAAAAAAAAAAATATTCACATTAGCAGATATAGTTGAAAACTATCTTTTGCCTGTGTCTTCGCTCGCGTTAATTTATCCCCTTAGGGGAGAAATTTATCAAAATCCTTTCTTAGGGGATGCCTACGTCATAGTAGATTTATGCATGCAAAGTCTCAGGCCGATCGGTTTAAAATTGACAAAGTTTCATACAAACTTTCATCCCCTTGTAATACTACCCATTAATCAAAATCCTTTCTTAGCGGATGCCTACATCATAACATCTACCTGCATGCTAAATTTCAGCCTGATCCGTCCAGTTGTTTGGGCAGTGAGTTGATAGATCACTATGTCACAGAAATGGCGCAAATGTTTTCGTCTTTTATAAAGTAAACAAAGGATTTAATATAAATAATAATAACAATGTTACTAGTGACTTTTTTTAAATTGGTATTATCACGATAATATAATAAAAATTCATATAGTAGATAGTTAATTATAATTTTATTGTATTATTAAATGAATTTGTTTGTTATTATTGGCGCCAATAGTTAACTTGATATTCGTGTTTGATATACTCATAATATTTTGATTGGAGGACACCTGTATTTTGTACCTTAAATTGTTGTCCTTATTCCGCCTGTTTGAAGATACTCCGTTATACAAAATTAAAAGCAAAAATCAATGATATAGGTTAACTTACTTGTTGTAGCGATCCTAATCCAGTGCAAAAGTTCGTCTGATACGCATCCCACGACAAAGTAAACTTTGTTTGTGACATAGCTGATAATTTAATTCATTAAATCGGGACACAATAATTTGATTTTCAAGTCAATAGTGGCAAAATATCAATTGTTGATTATAATTATGATTTTGTTTGGTTTCTTTAAAATGTACTCTATGGATTTTCGAAGTCCTTCAAAGAGTAGAGTAGTTTTATAGTTCAGAGACAATTTCTATACTCTATGTTTCAGAGTACTTTTTTAATTTATGTAGCTTAGTGATGTTGAATCAATATATTGAGAAATAAACGCAATCAAAAGCGTTCATTAACTGAATATCGCAATATGTACGTGGTATTTTGACTATAGACACTTTTAAAAAGATTTTTTGTAGTTGACTGTCATGTAATTTTTTAATTTTTCGTCTAGTATTATTAAGGCTTCTGATGCTAGCCTCTGTAAGTGTAATTAATTCTAAAATAATGGGGGTGTTAAATTGTGCAATAGTGATCCATTGATTCTTAATTCCTGGAGAATTCGCTAAAATGAGCTAACTGACCCAATTTCATGCTCAGACTATTGTCCTCCACTGGTGCTCCAGCGTATACAGCTAGTGCAAAGGACTATTGCATTTTTATCCGTTAAAAAAATAAATCAAATTAGAGGGATATATTCTTTTAGTTGCTGTATGATATTTGTATAATTAAAAGAACCAAAATAAACATGATCACATTTTATTTAATACTAACACCCTTTTGTGTCAATGTATTATCTTCATAAGTCTCAAGAACATCAGCCAAGTGCTCGTTGTCGCGCGGTTTCTTGAACTGCCGTCGTTTTTGTGAAACCTTTTTCCGTTTAGGGGCTATAGGTTTCCTAGGACCATGATCTTGCATAGACTTAATACCTTGTTTCTCTAAGTATTCCTCAATCTTTGCGTCATCCATGGCATCGACAGCTGTGGCGCGCCATAATTTTACGAATTCGTCATCTACCTGTGTGTTGAATGAAATGATTAAATTCTGTAAGTTTGAGAACAAATATATTATGCAAATTCATGAATTTCAACATACATAATTTCTTTCTATATTTATTAAGCTCACACGAACTTCATCTAAATTTAGACTGTTTAATTTTATTTTAAATTATGTGATAATATTGTCGTAATAAAAAAAAAATAAACAAATAAAATACCAACAGTGTTAATAGTACTTACATCTAATGTAGCAGTTTTGTCGTTATAAAATAATATCTTTTTCTTATCAGTAGATCTGGTTATGTATAATATTTCTTGTGCCAAATTCTTCAGGGCCCTCTCGCAGTGTGGCAGGGATTCCTGTACATCCTCTAACAGTATCCCTCCCAGGCCCTTTAGATCTTGTTGTTTCAACAACCTACAAATAGTAATAACGCGTCTATGTCAGTCAAAGACAGAATATTCCTAGAAATACTGATTCAGAGACAGACCGTCAAAACAAATATGTAATTATGTATAGAGACCTGATGTATTAAATCTACAATTACACTGTATGTGTGGTAATACATATTAATAATTTTAAAATATTTAGCAAAGACGATTCATTATTTGTTAATGTTGTTTAATTTTTTAATGTCCATATGTCACACATACAGTGTGTGGACACTAAAAAAATAATCCGTTACATAGTTCTGTTGAGTTTAGTAACTATTCAATTGATTAAATTCAAAGATTGGCCATACATTTACCTTAGTAATGATTTTTTGTCTTTAATTTTGTACACCGGTTTAAATATGTATTTCCCATCTTGTGTACATTCAATTTTAGGATTGTTCTGCAGGGCTTCTGATTGTAACCACTGAAATAAACAAGTGCCATTAATACATATAATAATAAAAAATTGTAATTGCTACTTTTGAATAGGAAATTATATTTTAACCAAGGTCAGAAAAGGATGATGCTACATATAAAGTGACAATAAAAAGCTCAGGACAATTCAAACAGCACCATCTAGTACCAAGCTAAGTAGAACTTAGTTATTGTATGTCCATCAATATATGTATATATTTTTTTATTATTAGTACACATTACATCAGTGGTTATAAACAAGACAATTAACAGCAATCCCTCCATTAAGCTCAAGGCTTGTGTCGCAGGAATCAATGAATGAATATATTTCCATAGTCGATAGATTTTCAAAACTATTATTACTTTATAATAATTTAGGTGAGATATTTATATATTATCCATACAATTGTCACAAATAGGAATCTTTAGAGAAATAATAGTACACCTTTATATTGGGGAGACATTATGATTGAATTGTCTACTAACTTCCATTCTAATAACAACTAGTTATTCGCCCCAGCTTCGCCCAGGTGTACATGTATTATATATATATAAACCTTCCTCTAGAATCACTCTATCTATTAAAAAAAGTGTTTCACAATCCGTAGCATTGTTTTAAAGATAAGCATACGTAGGAACGGACAGACAGTGAATTTGTTTTATACTATGTAATAATAATTAACATTAGATACTTGCCTGTTTTACTTTATTCCCAACATCCAATTGATTGGTCTCATCCAATACTTCATCTAAAGTTAACGGATGGTCATCACCATCCTGGTGCCTGGCTCGCATGTGTCTAACTATCCGGGCCAATACTCCAAAACGGTAGCTGGAGCTACCAGCCATTGTTTTGTAACTGGAATGATAAAGTATATATATATTGGGAGGCTTTTACTCGAGGGGGCCACATAATAAGAAAAATTAAATAAACTAAAAATAAAAGTTATATGTTTGAAAAATATGTGTTAAGTGGATGTTAAAGCTATAATAATAATAATAATATATATTTGGGTTTCAACAAAACTTTTGACAAAATTGCAATAGCATAGTTGGTAACTCTATTCTCCCTAATTTGAATTTAAAAATCAATCTGCATTTTTGTAAACCTCTAATAGCTCATTTGAAAAGAATAAGAGCAGAGTTTCTTGTCAGTTCTTTTCAGCTTGAAAGTACTCCGAACTGACGGTAGAGTTGACATATCATATGTCTGTAATAGACCTACATGAATAAAGATATTTTGATTTGAGTGGTGTTAGATTTAAGCCATAGTACTATACTGTAAAAGATTGCTTTAAGTGCCATTTATGTAAGAATTACATTGGTCTACAGTATTTATTATATCAATATAACTATGTTTCTAGAAGGTAACAATCAAATACGTAATAAATAATTAGTTTCTCTCAAAGTGTGTTTGAATGTAATAAAAAACTTACTTGGTGGCATCAAGTTTTGGTCCAGAGAGGACTGAACTCGATGATTTGGATTTCTTTTTGCTGTCATCTTTGAATTGGGAGTCATCCTTTGACTTTTTCTTCTCAACACTAGAACATAAACATATAAAGTAACAATTATAAGTGGTGCCAAAAATACAATTATTATGAAGAACTCTATTTTATGTGTATGCAGTAAATCAATAATTGTTATGATATATTAATTCAAATATAATATTACATTTAATAATCAGGTAAATAAACTTATTAAAAGAAAAAAGTAATAATATTTGAAGTAGTCTGAAATATATAAGTTTCAGACTGGTAACAAAATACAATGTACTAGTTATAAAGCTATAAATTGTAAAATTGAATTCAGTTTTAATGTTCTAACTCAGTTTTCTAAGTCCAAATGTTGCATTCATCGGTGATCGTAACACTGGTGCAGGAGAATACGACATCGGTATGAGTGAGGGAGACAGCGGTAATGGGTTCAAGGAGTCCACACCAAGAGGGACACGACGCGACAACTAGTACCCGAGCAGTATTCATAGAAGGATGTAGCTACGTACGTTGGTGTTGAAAGTGCCTTTTTCTTAAAAGCCTCCCGTTCCCGTAGCAAAGCTGGATCCATTTTTTATTTAAGAGAAGCTCAATCCAGTGTTATTTAAGGTCAGTTATTACACATTATTTATACAGAAATATAATTATGTTTTACATCGTTAGTAGCTTTCACTCCCAATCAATGCGTTTCACAATCAAAAACAAAACATTCACGCGCTGACATTGACAACACAGTAATGAGTGACATTTCATCTTTTTACTTTTAATATAAACATGTACCGGGCTGTGGATTCCTGCACTTTGAGTAGAAAGAATTCATATAATACGACCACAAACAACATATCGTCTACACATGAATACGATTCATGAGTCGGTATTCGTATTTTTTTAATGAAATGGTCCTCGTCGTCTCCTTCAACGGCATGCATTGGCGAACCAGTGGAAGATGACAGGATAAGCATGTATTCAGTCAGTCTATTATGGAGAATTCATCTAAAATTAACCACAATGGCTTCCAGGGTTATTATTTTATAACTGCAGGGAGGTCGACCAGACAAAGTACATTGCTAATAATGACTACTCTTGTTTCTAATAATGCCCCTTTCTCCCAAAGGGGCATTATGTTGTTTATTTAAATTTTTATCTTATACCTATATAAAATTCTCGTGTCACAGTTTTCGTTCCCATACTCCTCCGAAACGGCTTGACCGATTCTCATGAAATTTTGTGAGCGTATTGAGTAGGTCTGAGAATCGGCCAAAATCTATTTTTCATCCCCCTAAATAGTCCACCCCTAAATTTTTTTTTTATTTTAAGGCAAAACAACGTTTGCCGGGACAGCTAGTACATATATAGAATCCCTATTATACCATACGTTACCATAAGAAATAAACACTCGTGGACATAATTATACAGAACTAGCTAGTTTTAAGCTAAACAGAACATTGTAAGTACTATGGGTGCTACACAACTGAATGATACATTTAAATCCATTTAGGTGTTTTATTTACAACATAGACAATACGCATTTTTTTTTCTAAATGAATGAATATTGATGATGCTCCCGCCAGTGCATATACTGGCGAGGCACACAGGGGACGACTGAATAAATAATTCTCAATTGTAACCGATCAAAATAGGTGTAATGGCGATTTTCTATAAATCATTTGAGAGTTACAGATGCGTGTTAAGTTGCGCATTTCGAATGGCGGATACGTACGATACCCCCGAGGAAGTTTACCTGCAAGGAACATTGTTAGTCATGGATTCATTAGTTCGCATTACTAGCAATCCCTTTCCCTTAATACGCAGATCTAGACAAACATGACATTTTTAATATGTTCTACTTGTACAAAATAATTCAAATGTTTATATTGAGAGGAATAGAATCCGTGACTTGTGAAAAGTAATGCAGAGTTCTAATAAAAACTTTTCCATTTTTTAAATCGGTAAAAAATAAAATTTGAGATCAAGATCGCGGCGCGGCGGACTGTACTGGAGGCTGTTGAACAAGACAAGTTAGGCAACTTCGGACGCTGTCACATGTTACAATAATATATTCTGACCAGTCTAATAAGGCAAAGGCAGACATTTACACGGCTATACCATTGCACTAACCTTCGCAGAGCGTACGGACGTCGGTTAGGTATGTAATGTTATCTTATCTGTGGTAATCTATCTATTTATTGCCTTCAAATATATTTTTTTTGATAGTTTTTATATTTAATAATCTGTAGAATTATTTATTAGCAAATATAAAGATGCATTCGTGATTATACAAACTATTGTATAATAGATATTATGTAGTAAAAATTGTTTATCGGAAACATGTTGTAATGACTATATTATAGTGTTGTATTAATTTAGGCACATATATATATATTAAAAAACTTATAAACAATGCCGAAAGGATTAAGATGGTTCGATACTTGAAAAAATAATTGCAAAGTTGTTTTTTTTTTAAGTCTCGACTGTAAGAATTATTGTTGGAGTAAATGGTAGTATGTTTATGAACATATATATGTACATATTGTGAGATTGTTAGTATGCGCGACCAATTCGATGATCCATTGTGAATTATAATGAAGTAGTACATACTTATACTTACAGAAAAAATATTTTTACTTGTTGGAAAATCATTTTTATGTATAAGTTAATATTAATCTATACAATTGAAAAGTCCGTTTGTAATTTGACTTGACGGCTTCGGTGGTCTAGCGCTTCAGCGCACCGCTTTCCGATGGTCGTGGGTTCGATTTCTCGCACGGTGCAAACATTTGTATTCATGAGTATGATCGTTGGTATTAGTCTGGGTGTTTTCTATGTATATTATGTATGTATTAACAAAAAAAGATTCTAAGTATTTATATTAGTTATCTACTACCCATAACACAAGCTCTATTTACAGTGGGACTAGATGGCACTGTGTTAATCGTCCAGTCTTATTTATTTAATTTCTAATTAACAGCTATTCACTAAATGTATCTTGAAGAAAAAATTACTGTCTATCTGTGTTCTTGTAAATCTCTGACGCGTGTAGCGATCTAGGCGTCTATTTTGACAAGATGAAGATTTGTACTGTTTTCCCAGTTGAATAGTTATTTGGCAGTGTCCTGGGTTTTTAAAATATGCGCACCTCTTAATTACCTCGCGACCTCGACGGCGTGGAATTATAGAAAAATAAAATTGAGTAAATAAGTGTTTCTATAGATTCCAATAAGTGCAATTATGTTTAATAACTTTCGTGTTTAGGTAGATACTTCATACGATATTTTCCCCAGTTTTATACGGTATTTTTTTTTCATTCGACTAGTTTAATGTTTTTTATATTATTTTTATTTACAATAGTATCTGTGTTTTTAGTAACACGGAATTCCAATACAATTTTATTAATATAATTAAATATAAACGCAAAAGTTTGAGAGTATGGATGGTTACTCTTTGAATGGATTTTGTTGAAACTTTACAGTAATATAGCTTATAGGTACAATCACAATAACACAGCTTATAAATTTTGTGCGGGCACATCTAGTAATTTTATAATGGTTGTTACTAATGTTTATTGAAATAAAAATTCACACGAATAGATACGTCATTCATTGTATTGCAATTAGATTGCATTGCAGATAGACGATAGTTTATTATCGTTTATATATCCTCTATAAAAGTTTTAAAATTAAAATTCAAAAATCTTTTATTCATGTAGGACATCTTAGCCGCTTATGAACGTAAAATTTTTTACATTATAATTTTAATTTTTCCCCTACCGTCCAGTATATAGATCCAATTGAGAAGAACTGGCAAGAAACTCAATTGAATTACTTTTTTTTTAAAACCAGTTTATTTACAATGTATATTTCTATAGGTGTCTATGTCTAACATTAAATGAAAATCGCGTGCATGAACAACTATTACCATGCACACTCGTCATTCAAGTAATCGTTTAGTGAGTAAGGCTTTGCTCAGTAAATATGATTTTTTTACTAACTTAATATGACTTTAACTGAACGATATAAGAAAAATATTTATTTGGTGACATATGGACAATACCTTCAAAATTTAATCTATGTGAACAATTTCTTACGCATATGCCGGATAAAACTATTGTTAATACAGAATAATACGAAAATTATATTGTTCACAATAATAAAAATTATTATAGCTTTTTTTTTTCGTTTCACAAGTTCTTTTTACCTACTTACTCATATTTCTGTTCAATGCTTCTAACAGGGAAAACCGACGAGACTGGTTCATGTTCATTCTTAGCGTGTTTATATGAATAAATGCAGATTTGTTGAATGGATTCCAAATTCTTGAAACCCATGTTTTTTCAAGTCAGGTGTCAAATATTATTCTTTGACATCTGACTTGGAACTTATTCATCACGCTACGACTAATAGGAGCGGAGCAGCAATGAAAGTGTGGCAAATAATTTTCAGTATTTCCGCTGAGTGCGCTGCGTAAACGAAGAATAGAATAGAAAATCATTTATTCAAATAAACTTAATTTAAGCACTTTTGAATAGTCAACATTTTTTAAATCTACCGCTTATTCGAAAGCTGTCTCATCATAAGAAGAATAAGCAAGAAACTTGTGTGTTGCTCTTTTAAACAATCCTTGTAAGTTCACATTTTACAAGTCGAAACGTGTGAATACAAACTACCAACCAGCACTAATTTATTTAGGCTCAAATATAAAAATACAATAAGATTAACTAGACTAGTCGGTTTCGATTTAATAAAAGAAGAACCTCAAATATTGGTCGATTTGCTAGTAAAATATATTGGGAAGTGTCAGAGATTATATATAGATGCAGCGGTACTTTATTTTCGTTGTAAAGGTATTGTTGGTAATGTGACCTAATTACTCCATCATACATTGCTAATGTATTAAATCAGGTTGATCTCCACGCAGTTCCTCCTGTAAACCATCGTAATAAATTCTTACTGAATTTGTCACGGCGAGCTAAGTGACCTGACCTCATGCTCATCATATCAGCGCAGACGCACCAGTCCATAATAATCCATTAAAAAAACTGTATTCCACATCTGGTCGTCTCGGCTGCCTCGAACAGAAAGTAGACCGTTCCCTTTTTTTTCGAACTGCCCTAATGCTGTTGGCCGCAGCTGGCCCTTACAGCGTAATTTATTGGTCAATAAAGTTTAAATAAATAAATAAATTAGGTCAGAATAATGCTACTGCTAAATCAAGTAGTTACCTCAAAGGACTCATTGATTAATTGATACTACAACCGATTTTTTTATGTATGACCCGCTAGTGCACCCGCTTGCGCTAACGGTTTACACTGGCGGGGCACCAGTGGAGGATGATAAGATGAACATGAGGTCAGGTCAGTTAGCACATCGTGACTAATTCACCAAGAATTTATCACGATGGTTTCCAGGGGGAAGTCAACCTCACATGGTACATTGCTAGCAATAAAATCATCAATCCACATTACTAACAATCCCTTTCCCCCTTACTACAACCGATTTTTTTTTTCGAGGATGAGAATGGAATGGTGCACCCGCCTGCGCTAACGGTTTACGCTGGCGGGGCACCAGTGGTGGATTATAGGATAAACATGAAGTCAGATCGGTTAGCCCATCGTGACAAATTCACCAGGAATTTATCACGCTGGTTTCCAGGGGGAACCGCGTGGAGGTCGACCTGACATAGTATATTGCTAGCAATGGGATCATTAGTCCACATTACTAACAATCCCCTTCCCCCCACTACACTACAACCCCCTTCCCCCCCCTTACACTACAACCGATTCTCCGTGGGTACTTCTTTAGAGTTCCTAGTACGACTACGTACTCGTCGAATTAGTTCATGTGATTTGTCTAATTTATTAGGTTTAGGTATTTCTGTAACTGAAACTTGGAACATAATAATAAATCATTTAATTAATTTAAAATTAGATCCGGGAAGTATAGGAAACTATTGTTTACCAGTGTTATCGCGACCATGCCCCTCTTCCGCGAAGAACATACTGGGCACGTGCCCAGAACCCCGCGATGGTCTGGGGCCCCCTAGTCAAGTCTAATCTAGTCCCTACTCCATTAGAATAGAATAGAAAATCATTTATTCAAATAAACTTAATTTAAGCACCTTTGAATAGTCAACATTTTTTTAAATCTACCGCTCATTCGGAAAGCTGTCTCATCACAAGAAGAATAAGCAAGAAACTTGTGTGTTGCTCTTTTAAACAATCCTTTACTCATTTATCCTTTTACTCATTACCAAACGATAACCGATAGCTACTCTACTCTCGCCTGAAAAATGCTTACCGACTATCCGGTCAATTTGTTCGTTTTTGTTAAATTTTTTTATGGTCCGTGTGGAAATTAACATTATTTTTCTAAAATAAAAATAGCCTAAGATACTCCTTATTACATCAGCTACCTGCCAAAAAAGTCCCGCCACAATCGGTCCAGACATTTCAGAGATTAGCCGGAACAGACAGACAGACTGACAAAAAATGTTATTTTGGTGTATATACCGTATTTATATTCATATGCATGTAGTAAAAAATGGTTATTTCAATATTACAGAGACTCCAATTTTAATTATACCTCTGTATAGATAAAAATTGCGCTACAATTTGCCAAACTGAAGAGGAAACGCCACTACACATCCTATGTTGTTGTAGCCCTATCCTAAGGAATTAAAAACCATAACCACGCTCCTAAGAATATCCTTCAATTCTTGTCCCTGACCGGTCTAGGTAGCGAACTCTGAAACAGGGCGAGCACAATAGATCTATGTAAGTCGCAGTGCTACATGTCCAAGCTACTGACAATAGCCTAAACTATCCAATAAAAAACTACAGTGTGTTAATTTAACGGTGGATTAATACATATAGTTGATTATCTATACATTTCATCATCATTATCTCTACATATAAATAAAATTGAAGTGTCTGTTTGTAATATTGAAATAACCGTTTCCTACTACAAGCATATGAATATAAATACGGTACATACACCAAAAAAACACTTTTTTCAATTTTTCTGTCTGTCTGTCTGTCTGTCTGTTTGTTCCGGGTAATCTCTGAAATGGCTGGACCTATTTTGACTTTTATTGGCAGGTAGCTGATTTAATGAGGAGTAACTTACTCTACTTTTATTTTAGAAAATCAAGTAAAATTCCAAGCGGACGAAGTCGCGGGTGCAGCTAGTCTATCTTATATTCGTATCTAAACCGATTCGCAACGGATTTGTGTATAAAATTGTTATATTGTTTCAGATTACAATGCGGCGTCATGGCTGTTTTGTGTACGCTGTCCATTTATTAATATTAGTTAATTGGTAAGTTTTATAAATTATTTATCTAAATTACTAGCTGACGTCGCAAACGTTGTTTTACCATATAAATTAAAATCGCTATTAAAAAATAGGAGTTGGCGATAGAAAGTAAAAATTTAGGGTTGTTAATTCCACATAAAAATATAACAAAAAAGCACTTAGGGGTATGAAAAATAGAGCAGGCGAGATCACCATTCCATTATTCTAGAATAAGCTAGAATATGTTTAATATATTCGATTCAGACGAGCATGGCAATATTTGTTCATGTACGGGATTTTCTTTTAATGTTAGACATAGACACCTATATAAATATACATTTTGAATAAACTGGGTTGAAAAAATCAATTGAAATTCTTGCCAGTTCTTCTCAATTGGAGCTGAAACTGAACTGGACGGCATGGGAAGAATAATAATATAATTAACGTTCATAAACGGCTAAAATGTCCTACATGAATAAATTATTTTTTAATTTGAATTTCAATTTGTAAGTGTGGTGTGGGGCGATGAAGAGCCAGTATGGAGGTGGTCGTGTGACAATGGCAAGTGTGTGAAGACCAGGAACGGAGCCAATTCCGAAGCCACCCTCACTCTGGAGGCCTGCAAGATGTTCTGCGACGAATATGGTTCGTTTTAGGCTTACTTTAATTCTATTTCACTTTCATTTAAACTTTTATTTATTATAGCTGTGCCCGCGAATAACTTTTTCTATGGATAATTTTCCCCATTTGCAACATTTTTCAATGATGCTTCGCTTCTATTGGTCGAGCGTAATGTTATATAGCTTAAAGCCTTCCTCGAGAAATGGACTATCCAACGCAAAAATAATTCTTCAATTAGAACCAGTAGTTCCTGAGATTAGCGCGTTCAAACAAACAAACTCTTCAGCTATATAATATATAGATTCCACAGATTTCATTTTCCAAAGACTTGAGATTTGTATTTTACTAGATACTCGCCTATACTGACTACCTCGGTGGTTTAGCAGTTTAGCCTTTCCTCCATTGATCGCGGTTTCAATTCCTCGCACGATGCAAACATTTGTATGCATTTGTTGATGATTTTCAATATGTATAATAAATGTATCATTACATAGTATAAAACAAAGTCGCTGTCGCTGTCTGTCCGTCCCTGTTATGCTTAAATCTTTAAATCTACGCAACGGATTTTGAAGCGGTTTTTTAATAGATAGAGTGATTCAATAGGAAAGTTTATATATATAATACATGTACATCCAGGTCAAGCCGGGGTGAGTAGCTAGTTTACAATAACATGTAACGTATAGGTATATCTAAATATTTATATCGGTTGTTCAGTACCCATAACACAAACTCTTCTTAGCCTGGGACTAGATGATGCTGTGTGAATTGTACTGAGATATAATTTCTTATTTAATTGGCAGGTCTTCTGTGGCCCAGACCTACTGGTGACATAGATCTCGGCAACCTTCTGTCAAAAATAAATGTAGATAACATTAGAATCAACTCACTGAGTCGAGGAGCAAGCGATGATCTCACGGAGGCTGCAAAACAGGTACTAAATGCATACTAAGTACTGATTATAATTATTACTAGCGGTTCCCGCGGCTTCGTCCGCGTGGACTTTAACTTTCTTTTCCTAAAATAAAACTTACTTCTTAATAAAATAAAAGTTACTTCTTATCACATCAGCTACCTGTCAGAAAATATCCCGTCAAAATCGGTCCAGCCATTTCAGAGATTAGCCGGAACAAACAGACCGACAGATAGACAAAAATTTTTAAAAATGTTATTTTGGTGTATTTTATTGAACCGTATTTATATTCATATGCATGTAGTAAAATACGGTTATTTCAATATTACAAACAGACACTCCAATTTTATTTATATGTATAGATTGCTGTTCTGTATGTTGGCTAGAGTTGCCAACCGTCCTATTTTCCTACGACATGTCCTAGTTTTTGAAGTTTTTTTTTACTACTATGGTGGCAAACAAGCATACGGCGCATCTGATGGTGAATGGTTACCGTAGCCTATGGACGCCTGAAACACCAGGGGTGTCACGTTGCCGACCCTTAAGAAACCTTAATATACCCTTCTTGAAAAACCTCATGCTGTAGTCTTGTGAGAAAACCTCGGCAAGAAGTTCATTCTACAGTCTAAGTGTACGCGGGAGGAAGCTCCTCTGTCTGAGACCACTTAGGTTCCAACGTGTGGGGATGAATTCTCTGTCGATGGCGAGCGGTGCGATGGTAAAAGGTGGCCCTAGGCATCATGTCGAACAGACACACAATACAAACATTTGTATTCACGAGTAAGAATGGTTGTATTCATCTGGATGTTTTCTATGTATTTTGTGCATGTATTTACAAAGAAAATGTATCTATGTATTTATATCAGTTGTCTAGTACTCATAACACAAGCTTTGCTTAGCTTGGGACTACGTTGTGTCGTGTTGTGTGAATGATCCCAATGCTACGTTTACATTCAGCCGCTTCCCCTGCCACTCGCGCTGCCGGAAATATTGCCGGGCGACAACTAAGCGAGAGGGCTGAATGTAAAAACACGCTGCCACTCGCGCTGCCAGTCCTTTGACTCGCGCACGAAAAACCGACAATCAAGGGAGAGCCGGGCAGCGCGAGTGGCAGCGCCAATGGCATGGGAAGTGTTTCCACTCGTGTTTACACTCTCGCGCTGCTCACTTCCGTGCTTACTTCCCTGCCCACTCTGGCTGAGTGTAAATTGGGCATAAGGGATTATAATAAGTTAGTTAAATGAAATTTTCTTTACAGAGATTTATAAAACAAGTCTCCCTGGTTGCACCGAAAGGAGTCAAATTGAAAGCAAGTGGAAAATCTGTTAATATAAACCTTATTAATGAGCAACCCAACTTACGAGGTTTGTCAATTTTATATACTTAACTTATACATATATTTATTTGGTAGTTCGTAGAAATTTTTCTTTTTTTTTCATTTGTACGTGTTTTATTATTTTTGTTCATTTTTATGGCCGATTGTAATTGTGAGTCATTTAATTTTATATTAAAAAAGCCAGACAAAGTCGCATATATCAGCTAGTTTGTATTTCTCACAGCTTTTTCTCTCGATATGGACGAGAGCTACGACCTCAAAATCGGATCGCCTGCCAAGGACCAAATCAATGCAACGGTCACAGCAAAGACATTCTTCGGCCTCCGTCACGGGCTCGAGACACTGTCGCAGCTGTTCATATACAACGACCTCACCAATCACATGTTGGTGAGTGGACTCAGCATTATTTCTAACAGATATTATTTAAAATAGAATAGATTAGAATTTTTTTTTTTTAACAAACTTACGGCTCGAGACACTGTCGCAGCTGTTCATATACAACGACCTCACCAATCACATGTTGGTGAGTGGACTCAGCATTATTTTTGACAGACTTTAAAATAGAATAGATTAGAAAATGTTTTTTTTTAATAAACTTACGGCTCGAGACACTGTCGCAGCTGTTCATATACAACGACCTCACCAATCACATGTTGGTGAGTGGACTCAGCATTATTTCTAACAGATATTATTTAAAATAGAATAGAATAGAAAATTGATTTTTTAACAAAACTTAATAGAATAGAATAGAAGTAAGTTTTATTTTTAATTTGAATTTAAGCACTTTTGAATGGTCATATTTACCGTTACATTCGGAAAGCTGTCACAGAAAGTACGAACAAATAACGTGCGTGTTGCTCTTTTAAATAATTGTTGTAACTTTACATTTTTAACTTGAAATGTGTGAATACAAACTACCAATTAGAACTAATTTAACTTAGCTTGGGTCTAGATGGATTGAATTATCATGAGACATTATTATTGTAAGTTACTTCAATGATATTATTTGATATGATAATTGTAAAGTAACACCGTGATAAAGTTTTATTTCAATATCGGGGACCGCGCTCCGCACACCTCATGCGCCCCGTTAATTTTACGTGTTGGCGATCCAGTGCCAGGGCCGTCTTTCACCTATTAGAGGCCCTGGGCACATTAGGATAATGGGACCTCTATGACTATAGTAAAGCAAAGTTCGAATAGACAAAGTCATTTTTAAACATAGCTCTTTAGAGATGTATATGAGGATGCTTTACCTTCAAAAGAAACCAGGCAAAATTAATCTTAAAAAGTTGTTGTGATTGTAGTAATAATTTTATAATATTAATTTATGTGGGTATGTTGCACAGTTTGTGTTGCTTGAGTATATAGAATTACCTCATTAAAATAAAATCAGTTCGAGAATGATCTGACGTTTTACAACATGGTGACAGCGGTGGGATTCGAACCTACGCCCTTTCGGACTGGTGGCTAAAACCAGTTTTGACGTTTTACTACAATGATGAGGGGTCAAGTTCTTGTTAGACATTCGGACTGGTGGCTAAAACCAGTTTTGACGTTTTACTACAATGATGAGGGGTCAAGTTCTTGTTAAAGACATTCGGACTGGTGGCTAAAACCAGTTTTGACGTTTTACTACAATGATGAGGGGTCAAGTTCTTGTTAAAGACATTCGGACTGGTGGCTAAAACCAGTTTTGACGTTTTACTACAATGATGAGGGGTCAAGTTCTTGTTAAAGACATTCGGACTGGTGGCTAAAACCAGTTTTGACGTTTTACTACAATGATGAGGGGTCAAGTTCTTGTTACACATGTTAACTATCGTGTGACGCACCATTAATTAAAAATGGTAAAGTCAATAATCATGTAACCTGAAACGGAACGTCAGAGGCCAGAGCCAAAGTAATCTATGTGACATTGACAAGTGGATGACGGACGATTGAACGGAGGCAGCGGGAGTTTTGGAGCGAAAGTGTTGATATTATTATAAAAACAAATAAGAGATAGATAATTGTGAATATTGTAGGCATTGAGGTGTTTCTCTCCCTGACTAACCGGCATTACGCCTAAGTCGTCAGGATACTAGTGATTTTAAAACACATTTATAAAAAAATAACAAAAACGAACAAAATGACCATCGTCGGTAAGCAGTTGTTAAGACTGATTTTCAGGCGAGAGTAGAGTTGCTATCGGTTATCGTTTGGTAATAGAGTAGACTAGGGGGCCCCGATCCATCGCGGGGCCCTGGGTACGTGCCCAGTGTGCCCAGAGGGGAAGATGGGCCTGTCAACGGACAGTGCTCTCTAGCTCTCCCCGTACCACTTTAAAATCTAAATATTAAATACAGAATCAACTGCTTAACTAAAAAGGACTGTATAACAGCTTAATGTTACGATGTTATGGAAAGCAAGTCTCGAGCATCCGTTAAGGTCTTAATTATAGTATTTCAGTTAAGTACACGTATGTAATGTTTTCTAGGTTTGATGGGAGAAATCTCTTTTTAGAGATACGTTCTTGTACATTTGATTTACCTTATTACTGTTGTTTTTACCTATGTGTAGAATAAAAAAAGAATATTTAGTATTTATGTTCGTAATCGTTATGTATCTCTAAATTAGAGTACCAAGATCTGTAATACACAAGTTAGCAACTGCGCTTTTTCTCTTCACCACTGGATGGTCATCACTGGAGAATTATGTTAATATGAGTGTGTTTTATTCAGGGATGTTAGGGAGCTCCGTAACCGTAACCGAAACCATCGGATATCCGATATGAGAAAATATCCGTTAACCGTAACCGAATCTGAAATAAGTGTCGGATAGTGTCAGATAGGGGCGGAGCCTAATTGCGACACGTTATGTAACCTTTAAAATACACCTACACTTGTAATTCTTTAAAAAATTAATATCCGTAACAGAAATTATCCGAAACTAACGGATAATCCGAAATAATTTCATATCCGCATCCGTATCCGTATCCAGTATAGTAATCATTACTGTATCCGAAATCTATCCGTATCCGAAATATCATATCCACAACATCCCTGGTATTATTACAATACAGTTAAAAGATGACGAACAAACAAACATTTTACATCACCTAAGATCCACAATAAAGATACTTGTATATTTGTGTCCCAGATGGGATAGTCAGAGGCATTAGCAATAGTAGATTTTGTGGTGAATTCAAAACAAGATGACAAGTATTTCAATTGTTGAAGTTTTATGTACAATTCTTTTTTTCTATGTCCTTTTTTGGAAAGAGAGATTGTCGTATTTTCGTGTCATTATATATTTAGGAAAATTATGCATTAACAATTTTTTTCTGTTCAGCTTTTATGTTAGTTTTTTACTTTCCTAAAACAAGCCGTTCACACATATGTATGTACTTATTCTTTATCTTTTTTTTCTTGTTATATGGTACTAACACATAATACAAAATGAAGGCATGTTGCTAAAAGTACTCAAATTTCAATTATTCTTCTCGAAATCGATAGAATTTATTGTGTTAATTAAGTATTTCATTTTAAATATTTTTTTATAACAGATTTTTTTTAATTATCATATTCATATTTTAGTATTTTTTTAATGCCAGAGTTTATTTTTACCACAGATAACATAGTATTTTTACTAAAGTTCCTTGATTAAGTCGTATAATCGTGACCTCTGCAATAGCGATCTATGTTTTTATTTTATTAGATTTTTTTTATAAGTGCATTTTTGTATTGTAAATGTCAAGGATATTTAAACTAAGCATGACTTTTGTTGTAAAGGTTAAATAGAGTCCTCTACAATTGATACAATCAATATAAAAGGGTAACAGATATATTATTAAATATTTATGCTGTGGTAAAAACAAAAAAATGTAACTTTTTTTTTATAAAATGTTACGAAAGAAATATAACTCTAGAGAAGGCGGGAAACGTTAAACTTGGCGGGCGCGTTTTTTCTTTTGATTTAAATTTTATACATATTTTTCATTATTTAGTGATTGTGATACTGTATTTAGTTCTTTAATATCTATTATTTAGTTTGTTTATTGTAGTTAGTATAAATAGTTAGCTGTTTTATTGGTAAGTTTTTCGTTTTTTCATTTCTATGGACGATCCCCCCGACCCGGGGGGATTTGTCCCTCCGGCTTCTAACTATGTTACAATTTCATGCGAATCGGGTATGGAAACCGATACGTCTTGTTCAAACCGATCGATAAAACGCAGTCGGTTACAAAGATTTTGTAAAAGTTGTAATAAACGGAGAAGAAAAAATTCTTCAGATAAAATTACAGATTGCCACTGTACAGATGACATAAATGATGGCATTGAAATACAAAAACCTCTCACGGAAGTGATTTTCACTGCACAATCTGTAAATTTAGATCCCCCTCATCCACCCACATCTAAAGAAACAAATGAAAATAATAATATTTCTGAACCAGTAGCAAGGAAAATGTATGAACCCACAGACCATGCCCCATACTTAGTTCATGTAGTAAGACAAGAAAAGTCTCCAAATGACGGTACTACACTTCACCCTGTGACATTTGGTAAATTCCTCAAAAAACAGTATTTTAAAAACATTATTAATGGAAGTGTAAAACGCATTGGACGAAATAAAATTGCATTATCTTTCTCAGTTTACCATGATGCTAATACATTCATTAATCATAACAGTTTAAATGATTACAAATTACAGGCTTTTATACCAACATTTAATATTACACGTATGGGTCTGGTACGAGGTGTTCCGAGTGATTGGAGTCCAGATGAAATATTACAAAATATTTCTGTTCCTATCGGTTGTGGCAATATACTTAAAGTAAGACGGCTAAATTACAAAGTTGTTGTTGATGGCTCTCCCACTTGGAAACCTTCTCAGACAGTAGTAGTCACATTTGATGGTCAGGTACTACCAAAAAGAATATTCATGTGTTATAATGCATTACCAGTGGAATTATACACTTATCCAACTATACAATGTTTCAATTGCTGTCGTTATGGTCACACTAAAATTCAATGCAGGTCAAAGCCACGTTGTTTTAAATGTGGTCAAAATCATACAGGAGAAACATGTGATGTTGAAGATGCTTTTTGCTGTTTATGTTCAGGAAATCATTTTTCTACTAGCAAATCTTGTCCAGAATTCAATAGACAAAAACAAATAAAGTTATATATGGCTGAAAATTGTATTTCATATGCTGAGGCCTCAAAATTGCACCCTGCTGTTACAAAGCCTTTTGCTGAAGTCCTTTCCACGCCATCAGCACATGGAACATCATTCAGCACTTTAAAAAATATATCTGAATCAAAAACTTATAATGATACTGCTTTTAAACAATCTTATAAAAAAACCGTATTCTTAAAACCTAAATCTCCTCATCCATCCTATGT